TGAACAATGGTGATGTACAGACATTTGCGAAGAAATGCAGCGAGCAGAGAATCTCCCAACATATGAGCCAGTAATATCCACTTCCACCCAGAGTGTCTACGCAAAGCTTGCCGGCAAAACCACAGGCAGCTCCCAAGAGCAAAAGGATAAAAGTGATAGGCATTGTCTGTCTTGAAGTGGCCGAACGCTGGAGAAGCAAGTAAGCTATTGCGAGAATCATTAGAAAACCAAATATCATTCGGCTCATAACCTGAACTTGGCACTTAATGGTATGCAGCCCTGAATTAAACGATGACACTGTATTCGGCATCCACCAAGACTTGGATTCCTGAAACAAATAAAAGCGTATCATATATTCTGTCAAGAACAAAAAATAATGCAGGTTTTGTATGAAAATTATTGAGGCCCTAAATAAGCACGGTCGTTACCTTTTGTAAAGGCGCACAGGCTGCAGTAGCTTCAGAAATCTTTTTGTATGAAAAAACATAAGCGGCATAAGAAAGGGAAGCTGACATGAGGACTATACCGGCTACAAGACAGTCGATGCACTTTTTAAGCAGCTCACCATGTCTCATGTCTTCTAATTGATTTTTGAATTTTTCAGCTTTAAAGGATGCCTTGGATATACCCACAGCTAATTTTGACCTCTCCAAATGATTTGAATCATGGTTGAGAGCCAACTGGGCCTCTTTCAACTTCAATCTTTTCATTACAAGACCAAGCTCCAATGCCTTGAGGTCATTCGAACGGACTTGTTCTATAACAGATTTTTCCATCGTACTCAGCACGTTCTTATTGATTGCAGAATCTAATGAGCTTGAAGAGGCACAAGCCAGTTGGTTGTTTTGATCATGCAGTACAAGTTCCTTATAAATAAAACTTGCTGTTGTTTGTTCAGGTTCTACTTCAGGGGTGGTCAATATATCTTCAGTTGCAATAGTAGGCAAGTCTGTTTCCGAGTGACAATCATGAAGCTCAGAATTGCTTGAGCAACCCGCTTCATTAGAAGGCAAATCCAAATTAGATACACGGTGATTTTTTAGGTGGTATCCTTCCTTCTTGGTGGATGATTCATTAATCAATCTAAGAGTCCTCAATGTGCTCCCAAACGATTTCTCAAAGTTCCTCGCGAAATAATTAAAATTGTCCCCAAAAACCTGTTGCCGAAAAGGCAGTCAAAACAATGAACACATACGTAATACTTTAGAACCTTGATCTTCAGTGCTGTTGATACGAACACAACGAAACTTATTTCGTAAAAGCAGATTCAAGGCATGAGTCAGCATTTAAGCTCTGGCTTACATTGGTTAAAGATTCTCTGACAGCTGAAGTGCAGATCTGCAATGAAGTTAACAAATTTATACCAGTTTTAGGTACTGCCAAAAATTTTAAACATCAAGTATACGCAAACAAATTGAACAAAAAGCTTTATGAAGAAATAGATAGGTCAAGGTCAACTAGTATGTCAAAAATGAGTTGGCAAGCAAATTAACGGTTATGAGATAACAGTAGTAGATGACTTCGAAAACAAATTTTAATTACTCTTAATGAAGGATGGAATACTACCCTTGAAAGATGGTCGATGGATATCCTATCACCTGCTGCATCTTTCCTTTCCAAAACCTAAAACCAACAAGCAGCACGTTGACATGAGCAATCAAAAAATAATCATGTGAACTCAAGATCAGTGAAGAAACACGATAAATTTCTGCACAAGAACGGAGGAAAGACATATATGCTATTCTGAAGCAGCACATGACAACCATAAATAACATACTCTTGACAATAAAACTCAGACCTTGAGCTTTGCCCCACAGCAAGATTCAAGAAGAAAGGCCAGAGCCTAGGCCATCCATAGCAAACAAATAAAGACACATGCTTCAAAGTGTGAAGAACATCGGGGTCACAAGTCTCAAACTCCACTACTTCCCTTACATTGAGGAGTAGATAAACTTGATGAGCATTAAATCATTAAAGATTACAAGTAAATAGCAAAGCCAGATGCTATCCATTTTTTATCTCATAAATGACAAGAAAACTCCAAAAGAAATAAAGATAAACAGACTTAAGACAACCATTAACAAGAAAAAAGGAAAAACCCACATTTCAATGATTTTAGTTAGAAAGTACAAAATATAAGAATTCACATTAAACATCAGCGAAGATATATCATGAAATCCAGATTCAAAATATAATAATCACTTCCAACATTAATACAAGCTTCTGGTGTCTTTATGATCCACTAAAGCATAATAAAGAAAAAAGATAGTTCTAAATGTATACCCAAACCTCTCAATACCATCCACCTCCTTTTATAAATGTTATCGGCATAAGCCACCAATCAAAAATTTTAAATTAGTGTCTATTTTCCCAAAATGTAAGGCAAAAAGCTTCAAACAGGCATATCTCTTAACAATTACTCATTTGGAATAATTTCCTTATATATTTTCAAGAACAGTATGCCATGCACCACTTATTTTCCCCTCTCTCTGGGCTGACAAACAAATAACTAAAAGAAAACAAACTAAGGCAAACTACATCTCAAAAGCACCAGAACCTGATGAGAATAAGCCTGGGCCGTGTGAAACCAGAGACACCATTAAGCAGCACCCACCAAGGCCAGCTCCACATTGGCTTCTCTGAAACATAGTAAATTATGAAGATCAAAGGCTCCAGAGGCTCTTCTTCTATCTTTAATAACTACCTTTTCATCCCAAGCAGTTGAAGCTTGGAAGTTCAGAGCACTCTTGTAGTGGGTTGAATTGACCATCACCTTCAAGTTGAAGGTGTTCCTCATCCTTTTTCCCTTCAACTGAAAGTACAATTACTATGTCACTCCCACAACTACACCCCCACAATCTCTTGCAAATCAAACACCATAAGCTTTCTTTCTAACACATGTACCATCAACATTTTCTTTCTTCCATGCTTTACACTCTCAATTTCATAAACTAATTTTCAAAGCAGCTTAAAAAAAAGTACTCTAACCACATTCTTGAAGTTGCATTGTCAAAAATAAGGTATATTTCACAAGAATCAAATTTTAAAAGCATATAAAGTTTAAAAAAGAGCCCAACAATCAATATAAAGGAGAAAAGTTACTGAAAAGTCTCCAATTACAATTCACAGAAAGTGCAAGACCAACTTAATCAACAAGCAAGAACCAAAACCCTATCAATAACTATTCATAAAGATCAACAATGAAACAACCACATTGCACCCACTTTCGACAACCATTAAAATCATAATAAAATCCCACAAACCCCAAAACAACACAAAGACTCAACCTTTGACACTATGGATAAACCAATCATATAACCATTCATCAAAATTCAAACTTTCCCACCTCAGAAAAACACCGAGACACAACGAAGTTCCCCCCCCCCCCCCCCCCCCCCCCCCCAAAAAAAAAAAAAATAAAAAGCCTTTAACTTACCTGAGCAACAACAGCGGCAAACGACATTCCAAGAGGAGAGCATAGCCTCTATCTCAGTCCCCTCGCTCGGCCTTCGAACCTGACCCGCCCGGAACTTAACGTTGCGTCGTCTGAACGCCAATCCCTTGCCTTTGCTGGTAGAACTTGAGGAACAAGAAGAGGATGATGGTACATCTTTGTTAAGTCTTTTCTTCTTGTTTTTTCCACGGTGAGGGGCTTTGAGGAGAAGCGGAGTTACAAGCGTGGATGGGGTCAGAGGGAAGTGGGTTCGGCGGGTTTCGGCGGAGACGGGGCAGTGATGGGTGATGCTGTGGTGAAGAAGGAGAGGGAGGTGAAGGCGCGGGGTGTCCATAAAAGAAAATAAAATCAAGGGGCTGAATTTTAAAAAGTCATGTAAATATGTGGAGAGAATTAGAAATTGGAATAAAATAAATGAATTTGGTCAAACTTTACAACTAAGAGAATTTAATTGATGTAGAATTCGAATAATAGTTTTTTTATTTTTTATTTTGAAATAAAAGTTATAAATTGAAATATTTTTTAAATGATTGTTTTTTGAAAGTGGGTGTGTATAATATCAGAAAATGAAAAAAATTGATACTCCTAGAAGTATATAGTTTAATTTCAAATTATTTTTAAATATTACATCGAACATGTTTTAAGATAATAGATTATTGAAATATAATTTAAATTTAAATTTTATCTTTACTATTTTCAAATTTTGTGAAACAATTTTTTTTTTTAAATTTTAAAACCTTTTAAGTTTATTTATTTAATGATAATAAACATACTCTAATTTAATTCTCCAATAATAGATATATATTAATCTTGTTGTCCATGTGCAATGTATGCTGATTATTCTAATATCTATACTAACCTCATCCCCTAAAAAAAAGAGAGTAGAAAAGAATCGCTTATGCATATCTTAAAAAAAATTAATGGACTTCATTATTTTTTTATTACCAACATATGATTTGAGTTTTAAAATATTTAAGCTAGATATGAGTTGTGGTCTAGTTGGTAATGGATTTCGTAGACAAACTTTACTTAGAATGTCAGAGATGTGAATTTCATTGAAAGTAACTTGTATCAAAAACATTTATCCAAACCGAGATCGAAAATTAGCTCATACATCTAAGTGTGGGAAATCTTCAACGCTTTCACCGAGAAAAAAAAAAAACATATTTAAGTTCGAGTTTAGGTCAAAACACCATGGTTGTTTATTGTCATTTGGTCACCCATGTTATATGTCTATTTTTTGAATCGTTATGTGGCAGATTCAAAGTTCGATTATATATATGTGTGTGAAGAACTTCTTTTACTTTTTTTGTTTTGGGTAAAATCGGATCGACTAATTCTAATAAATAAGTTTCTATTATATGTATTCTAACACAACGAAATAATATAAGATTAATCTAAAATTTACTTTGAACTAAAGAATAATAATTAGGTATAATTATAAAAAATTATTGTTAAATCATTAAACAGGCAACAAGAAATCAACTTACACATATATTAATATAAAAATTGTGGTATTAATTATTTCTTTCCAAAATCTCTACCATCAACTCCTCCATGAACCGAGCAGCTGCCAAGGCTGCTCGTTTCCATTTCCTTCTCCATTTTCATGGTGAATCCTGCTGAAATTAAACCCTTCTGTGCCCAAATTTTCTCCGTAGCTGATCACCCTTGTGCCGTCTCCAATACTTTTTGCAGTTGCTTGTGGCCAAGGAGTAAAATCCCATGTTAAATTCTGAAAATCTGCCTTTGAAACTGATAAAGAACCATTCATTATGAATTTTCGTGGGTTCATGCTGGTGACGAGAGCTTGATGATGATCATCTTGCCGAGGCATCAAGTTTTTTTCACCTTCGGTTTCTCGATATTTGTTGAGGTAAGTCTTCAAGGTTCCAACGTAATTCTCGAACCCTAACGTTGTCATCGCCCACAAAAGATCGTCGCCATTGATGGTCTTCCGCTTCTCTCTTTGGCACTTGTCTGAGGCCTCCCCAGATGAAGCTAATGAACTCGGAAACACATTCTTGGACAGTATCTTTAGCTTCCTTGGAATTTTCGCATTGGGGTAGGCCTTTTTATGATCTACTCACATTCGAATAGGCAGAAACCGATCATGCTCCTCGAGGAGCTGTCGGAGATGTTCCCCGACGACGGGCTGCCAATCGGGCTCGATTGGTTTCGCTTTCCAGTCATCGAAGGATCAGAAGTTGAAGAAAAAATCAGGGTTTTTATCAAAAGTTTGATGTATTTTTGTAATGCTTTTTTTTTTTCTAAGTGTTTGATGAAGAATCCGTGTAGGGAAATGTGAACTTATAAGCAAAGAAGAGTGAGGGGAAAGAGGTCAATATATGAAAAGGTGGAGAGGCGGTTTGATGGGGACAGAAAAGGAAAGAAACAAGCACTTGCAGAATTCCAATTAATTTACAAAAGGATGGTTTAAGAAGTGAGGAATCTTGAAAGGAAAAAAGTGACCAAAAAATTGGATATGAAAACAAAATCTAGGCATGAATATTTGAACAAATAATGTTAGGGGACCTTTGTCCCATGGATTCTATATGGGGATACTTTGTTTGTTTGGTGAGGGTTGCTTTCAAAAAACACTTTTGGACCAAACGAAAGTGGAAACGTTTTCCAAACTTTTTTTTTTTTTCATATTGTGGAGTTGTTTAACTGTTTATGTACATATCTCTGTCGAAACATGTTTTACAATTAAGACGCTTACTATTTAATTAGTTCAAACCAAGTCATAGTGATGCGAGATACGATAGTTATTTCTGATTATAATTTTTGGTCAATAGAATATGGGTAAAATGAATTTTATTCCATAACAAATTGTAAATAATAAAACTATATCATATGTAACGTTAAACCCATTTTTTTTCTTTCGTAGAAATTTTCTGATCTTCGTGTGATTAAGAGTTAAAAAATTAGGTGTAACTGTGACGTATATCCAACTAACAAATACATAGTTATTTTAGTGTGTTGTTGGTCACTTTCTCATGGTGGTGGATGCATGTATGTCATTATACAATTTTTTCCTTATGTGGGTTATATTTTCAAAAATAAGATAATTATTCACCAATGGACATGATACTTTAAAAAGCTTGGAAAAGCGAAGGACATATGCTTCACTTTGCTCTATCTCTTTAATTACTTTTAAGTTCACTCACTGTCTCCAGATTCTTCTCCATCAATCCAAGAATTTTACAAGCTTTCAAGACCATTTCTGGGCCATTAAACTTTATTAGAACTGTCCCTTGTGAATAATAGGCACAATTCAAAAAGTTGATTTGATTGATTTGTGATACCAACATAATTGTCCCATATAAATGCTACATAAAACCTTATTATATTTTTTAATTCTAACGTACTTGATTATTCAAATATCATTTTTGATCAGAAAATGTGGAAAATAAAAAAAAAACTTTTCACTTTTTAATTATTCCTTGAGTTTTTTTTTTTTTTTTTTCCTTTGATGTAAATAAATATTTTAAGATTATTTGAGCCGACAGACCAGAATAATATGTAATATTTTAATTTCCAATGGATTTTAAAAACTACATTCAAACCCTAAAATCAAAAAACACAATTGTGACAAGTGGCTTATTTTGCAACTACCTTTTCCTATTCCACTTACTTTAATAAAAAAAAAGGGACTGTCTCTAACTAGCTGTCTCCTCATAATATAAAACTAAAGTCTAATTATTTATCTACAAACCTAATTTTTATGGGTATTTTTTTCTTTTTAATCCAAGTATGCTCAAAATCACATTTGAAAATTCAGAATGATCAAATTGTGATCAGGGTGGGACCTAAATGGAGGTTTCTAGGTCAATCTTGAGGCTTCATTAATAATTAATTGTTTTTGTATGATCTTTCTTGATGAAACATTATCAAATTTACATATAATATATGTTGATGGATTAAGCATAAACTGTCAGAATATTGGTGAACAAAAGCATCCAAACAAATAATATTGATAACCTAAGACAATACTTTTCAATTTATCTTAGATTATGAGGAAAGTTAGACTTTGTTGATCTCTTATATTTTCCCATGAAAACGATGCTTTTTAAGGGCTTATAATTTTAAAGTATCTAAAAAAGTTTTTTTTTTTTTTTTTTTTTAAATAAACAAATTTAGATTTTTTATCTTCGAAATAGAGGGTATTGTCATTAAAAGACATTAATCAAATAAAAAAAGTCTGACATAAATTGTGTTTTTGTTGACTAGGGGTGTCTAGGCCAGCTTACACATACCTCAATTAATTCTCTGAGACCCTAAAACTATCAGCCGAATAAGAGTTTTAGTGATTACCCCTATTAGCAAGTGAGGAAGGATTCGAACTTAAGATCTCTTGAGTAATACACTCAAGAGTCTATTGAATCACTTGACAACCCAAAAATAGTTAACATAAATTGCATTTCTGTTAATGAACACACTTTTTATTAATTAACCGACACTTCCTCTCAACAAAGTGTCTATTTTTTCAAGATATTAAAAAAAAAAAAGTACCCATTAATCGATAAAATTTGCTCGGATAAAAATACATTTTGTGTCCTTTTTTTTCATTTTTTTTTTTTAAAGTGATGTTTAAATGATAATACGGTAATTTATTTTGAGGAAAAAATACGTAAAATCTCACTGGTTTTAAAATTCTCAAAAACACCATTTGTTTTTTTATTGTTGGTTATTAATGTTTTTAAGGGTGCGTTTGGTTGGGGATTATATGAGATTACTAGGGTTATGTCATCTTATATTACTTGATTACCATGTTTGGTTGTCAAGTAATATAAGATTCCAATAATCTTCAAATACCAATAGTAGTTATTGTTGGTAATATTGGAGGCAATCTAACAACGTTTATTTTCATAGGTATTGTAAGATTACTAAGGTAATCATATTTTTGTTACAATTCTATCCCTTATTAATAAAATTTTAGGACAATAATACCCTCATTTTTAAATTTATTTACATAAATCTGGCTTTTACTATTTCACCACAATTAATTAACTTTTTGGACAAAATTACCTTTGAAATCAAAACAAATTGCAGCCCACCCAAGCCATCACCCCCACCCACGTGCCGCCACCAACCATCAAAGGTCGCCTGGAATTGTTGTAAGTAGCCGAGAGACACCAGGAGACTTCGATATAGCCTTTTTTGGCCATATTGATAGCCAAAAAGGTCATATCGGAGTAGATATGGCCGTTAACAGCGAGGTCTATGGCCTTTATCAGCCATATTTGGATGGGATATGGTCGTTAACGACCAGATCTATTCTGGTCTCCTTCTCACACGCTGCTGCTCTATCACCTCTCCTTTGTATCGATCTCGTCTCCAACCTCATCTCTGCCATTGACGAAGAGCCCAAGGTCGCTCGATCTAAATGATGCGTTTTCCAACTTCTTTCGATGACTTTCGACAGCAGATGGCGATGGTGGGCAGTGGCCTGGGGTGATGAGGGTGATTTTGTTATAAATTAAAGTTTTATATAAGCGGTGGTGTTTTAGCTAAATTTAAAATGTTGGGGTTAAAAAAAATTGTTCAAAAATTAATAATAAAAATAATATTATATTAATATTAAAAAAGAGGGCAATTTAGTAATTTAAACAACATACCCATCAATTTATTCCTCTCAACCAAACATATTAATATAACATACCTACCAATTTATTCAAACTAACCAAACACATTTTCCTAATATAAACGCACCCTAATTGTCATCTCATTGGCTAAGCAACAAATAAATAGTCATCTTATTGTCTAATATTTTTGTTTCCTAAATGAAAAAATATCTATATGATATCTACTTGCATAAGCCTCCATGAGCTAACCATTAGTCCCCAAAACATTTCTTAAATCTTCTAATTTTTTTTATATAAATATTTATAATTTTACTTTGTCTTGAACTCGACAACATGTTCCCCTCATGAGATTTGGTCAAATTGTTTACATAAGCTTAGAGTCAATTTTTATTGTGTCAAAGATTCATTATGTGCTTACATGTATGGAAGCTTCTTTTGAAGTCAAATGCACTGATGATATGTTAATATAATCTTAAACAAATATAAATATTTTTTATAATTTTTTACTATTATTGTTTTAAATTAATAAATATCTAACTAAATTTAAAATTTTTAAATTTTATAGTAACTATTTAATTAAAATAATTGAAGTAAATAAATGCATTTTATAACCCACCAGCCTCTTTTCTTTGGTATTGTATAGATTTGCATATGGTATTAATTAAATATAAAATATCAAGTTTAAACCTAACATAACATCGTATTAATTTAATGCTATTATTTTGTTTTTAAATAGAAAACGAGTGAAAAGACAAATTTGGTCCTTCGTCAATCACGGAATTTGTAACAGTGTTAGTTCTAAGGGTGGTATCTAACTAATTGTCTACACATTAAGGGTGGTTCTTAATTCTTATATAAATACATCCGAACTCAGCATTTAAGTTTCAATTTCTAAAACCTCAGTTGTGGTTATTACAATTAACCCATTTCTACAAAGATTGTAAGTTAATTTGTTATTGATGAATGAGCATTGCTTTATACATCGATTAATCCCTGTAGATGATTAACACAATATTCTATTGTCATAATCACCTGTTTAAATTTTAGGAGCCAAGAGATTCGAATCTGAGATCGTGTACCATAACCACACATCTCAACGCTTGTCGTACTACTTGACCAACCTAAGTTTGAGTCTATTCGTGCAAAACTATTTCTTACAAATTGACGTGGTAACCCTACATGTTTGTCATATAATATCCTTTAAGAATTTAATTTGAAGTCACCAAATCGTCTTAAAACACCTTAGTTTATATGAGAGAGTTTGTATAAAAATTTCGTATACGAAGTATTATTCTAATCTCAATAGTGTCACAGAGAGTCAAAGAGTGCCCAAAAATTTTAACATTTTAGTTATGAATTCCTTTTCATGGTAAAAAGGAAACTCAAGTGTATAGTTATGAATATAAAGTGCATGGGATCTACTAATTCAATTAACACACAACAACCTTTCCTTCTTCAAATTTCTTAGTCCCAGAATCAGTACTACGTAATTTAGCAATATTCATAACCATGAAAATGATTTGCGCAAAAACAATCTGACAAATCACGAACTGTAAATCGTAAAATAGGAAATTCTAATTTACTACATTCAGGTTAATAAGGATATAATAAGTAATATAAAAATTGCATTGAATATACTAATAAATTAATCCATTATAAGATAATCACTTTGGAAATATTTACCAATAACTAATTTGATAAAAAACATTATAAATAGTCAGATTTTAATAGGAATGGGCCTTGTAGGCCATAATCTATCAACCTTTGCAGTCTTCCTCACTCACCACCCATGGACTAATTAGTCTATGGGTGTGGGAAGGCCCATCAACTGGAGCCTAATTTTGATGAGTCTTAGACTAATATTGATGATCACTTCTAAAGTTGTGAATGGAAAACCGAGAAGCTATCCTACAGTAACTTATCATCGCGGGTCCCCATGTAAATGATAAAAAAATATACTATCTTTACACCCAACGGAGAATCAAACCTATGACTGTTGGTTGAAACCATGCACAACCACCCCGGTTCACCCTTACCGTTGCACCACCCATAGGTGGGTCAATTATGTTATTTGTACCATCGTCAAATATTTGGGGCAGGAATCCTCAGAGATTTTACAAATCCCTAGCTTAAATTATGAAATACTGGAAATGAGGAACCATAGTTTAAACTTTGAACTTTGAACAGATGTTACGTGTAAAGTGTAAACCAAAATAAGCAACTTCTTTCAGGTCACAGATGAAACTATTTCATTAATTTGTTCAATGATAAGCATACAATTGAATTGACCCTAAAACCATTTATATGCATAATTAGTGATATGCTGATTACACGATGAACTTACAGAAGAATGAATGATAAGTTTACCTATAAAAAGCGTGAAAAAAGTAAATGATTTCCCTTTCTATCAAACTATAACGTTATCTTGGACCTGATAACTCGAAAGCATGGAGATTTTCAGTAGAGTGGACAATCCAATCAGAATTTCGGGGTGGGGCAAGTTCAAGGTCGTGTCGGACCACCTCCACCTTTTGCCACTCATCCCATTTTTCTGCTAAGCCATCACCTTCAAGCATTCTGACAACCTCAGACATCTTAGGTCGCTCCATCGGGGAGCTTTGTGTGCAAAGAAGTGCTACTTGGATGAGCTGCTCAACTTCAGTATCGACATAGTTGTTCTGCAGGTCGGGATCAACCAGCATTTCCAGTTTCTTCTCTTTTAGGAGTCCCTTAACCTGAAAATCACGCAGAGATGCATGTCAAATCAAGTAAGACAAAAATTCCAGTAAAAAGCAAGATCCTTTACCATTTTTATAATGGAATACTGATTTGACAATAGACGGTTACGCCTAAGACCTATAAACTGTGAGCCCTATAGAGCAATCATATCATATTTTTGGTGTTTATAGTTTGGAGAAAACCATGAAACTAGTATGAGATATTGATAGGAACCAACTCCAATAACTCAACAATTTGGACTGGACCATAGGTCTTTCATGGGCTTGGGTAGAACTCTCATTGCAAAACCGACTTGCCAAGGGAGAGTGTCCAAGCCTTTATAACCCACATACCCACCCTTTTCACTTTCAATATGGGATCCTAACATTCCCTCACGCTTCGAGACCCAACGCCCTCGTTGGTCTTTTTTCCAGAGAGCGCCCGCCCTCATCGGCCTTTACTGCCCTCCCTTTGGATCTTACTTCACCTAGAAGTCTGTCAGTAACTCTCCTTCTCGACCCCTCGGGGGGCCCACTGGGCCCTGCTGCGTGGGCTCCACGTCGGCCTCTTTACCCCTTGGGTGACTTCGCGGATCCCCTTTCCCTGGGGTAACAGTCCGAGCCCAAGGTCAGCCTGCCACGCGTGCGTAGGAACTTGACTCTGATACCAATTGATAGGAACCCACTCCAATAACTCAACAATTTAGGTTGGGCCATGGGTCTTTCATAGGCTTGAGTAGAACTCTCCTTGGAAAACCGGCTTACCAAGGGAGGGTGCCCAAGCTTTTATAACCCACATGCCCACACTTTTCACTTTCAATGTGGGATCCTAACAGATATTTACCGAACTATGCTATGAATTCCAGCTTAAAGTATCTTAAAATAAATGTGTGCTTGAGTTAATGCATAAAGTACTTACCCAATCAAGCAGCATAACATCATCATCATTTGCAAGCCTAGCCAGATCAAACGCCCTCTGCCCAGTGATTAGCTCTAAAAGCATAATACCATAACCAAAAACGTCAGTTTTCTCTGATGACTTTCCCGTGGAGAGATACTCAGGGGCAATATGCCCAATGGTGCCACGTACAGCAGTAGTGACATGGGTATCTTTGTAATCCATAAGTTTAGCTAAACCAAAATCACCAACAACAGCCTCAAACTCCTCATCCAACAATATATTTGCAGCTTTCACATCACGATGAATGATCTTTGGATCACAATGATCATGTAAATATGAAAGGCCCCTAGCAGACCCTATTGCAATTCTCTTCCTAGTTGGCCAGTCAAGGGGTGGTTCTGATGGTGGCCGCTCTGCAGGAACATAACAACACAGTCATGAGTTCACCAATCATTCATAAGTCAACTAAGTTAGAGTTGAAATTTTAAAGTACTAAAACAAAGCAATGTTATGTGACACGATGAGATGCAGGAGGGCAATGGAAACTGAAGTATTCATACTCAATTGTTAGTATAAGTTTGCAAAGAGAAATTTTATCAGGTTCCACTGGATGAGGTTCTCATCCATGGTTGTGAAAATAATTGATAATTCCAAATTCTTTCTTTTTTTGGAAAAATAAGACATAAATGGAACATTAGAAACGATATATTACCTAAAGAGACATTTCTTAAAAAAAAACTATTTCTTCATTTTATAAACATGGTTCATTTTTTTTCCTGCAGAAAAGAACAATTTTTAACATCCAAAACACAAAATCCTGAACATATGATTAATGTCCCCTGGCGGAGTGCAACTTGTCTTTCTCTTTCAGGCACATCTCAACGTACAAATGCAACTTAAGTGATGAGGAAGAACCAACAATACCTCTTAGGCATGATGCAACACTTCCATTAGCCATGTATGGATAAACAAGCAGTCGCTCAGTTGGAGTCATGCAAAAACCACGTAAACGCAGGAGATTCCGATGCACAGCCATGCTAATCATCTCCACTTCTGTTTGAAATTGCAGCTCTCCACCAGGTGTCCGCTCTTCTTTAAGTCTTTTCACTGCCACCAATGTGCCATCAGCCAAGCGTCCCTTATACACCTTACCAAATCCACCTCTGCCCAGTATGTTCTTGTTGCTAAAAGTATCAGTTGCAACTTGTAATTCTCGTAAAGAAAATCTTTTCAGCTGTCCTAAATGGACTTCTGGATCTTCTTCCGCTGAGAAACATACGCCAAGTAAAAATAAAATCCAAATCAAACATCAAGGTGAATTCCTTTTGGATATTAGACACTAACCAGGTACATCAAAGAAAAATTCTTGTGGTTTTCTTCGCCGCCAATATGCAAAACCAACAGCTGGAGCAGCGAATAGTAAAGCAGCACCAGCAGCCACTCCTCCAGCAATTGCTGCAGTTGGACTATTTTCACCTGAAATGACAATGAAGAACAATGCAGTTCAGTCCTCTAATGCATGTTATAACGAAATTTACCCTAACATGTAAGTTTGAACAGAAAGAAACTACACTACTCAAGCATGTTTACACTTCAATGTCATTTATTAAAATTATTTTCTTCGCGGCAAAACTGAGAAGATATAATGTAAACAAAAGAACAGTTACATTACCAGGTCGGATGCTAACAACACAAAATATCTATTTTCATAATAGCATTTTATAATGATAATCTTAATAAGAACAATAATAGCAAACTTAGGTCACCAGTGGTACAAGAGACTACCTGGAGAAGAAACCGCTGCAGGTGGAACAAATGGAGGTGGTGGAGCAAATGGTGGAGATCCAGGGCAAGGCTTCCCAGTAACAGGGCCACACAGACCTATGTTATTCGCAAAACTGCAAGGTAAATCAGCAATTATGTCGTTACTGCACCATTCATCCAAGGAAAAAAAAAAACACTGTTTATATCCTTGATCAATAAAAAACCTGATGGGAGTAAAAAGTGAAAACGAGCCATTGTCTGGAACAGGCCCTGATAGACGATTGTTTGATAAGTCTCTGCAGCCAACATTGGAAAATGAATGTCACATCATCATAGCAAAGTTAGTACTGATAGGCAGAAAGGAATAAGAAGAATAGAGACAATATATTACTTAGGCACTCACAAGACTTGCAGGGCTGTAATATTTGTCAAGGACAGAGGTATTGGACCTGACAGGCTGTTATTGTTGAGCCGGCTTTCCTTACACAGACATCCAAAAAATTTTTTAAGTTCTAATACAAACAAGGACTATTAATGAATAGCAGATATAGCAGATATACACACAAGCGCAAGCAAGCACACACACACACACACACACAAAATGTTAAAAGATTAAGTGCCATAATTTTGTAAAGAATATATGCAAATTGAGAATCCTCTGGTTCAACATCTGCTAATTCTGCTTTTGGATGCAAGTTTCTATGATATTGATATGATCCATAATGCCTGAGAGAACACGAGTAATTTCCAAACATACTTTGAAAAGCAAACTATCCTCTTAAAGTAGATCCAACAACACTGGATTAGAAAGTCAGTACATGGAAGTGCAAGCTGCATATCTTACAGTCAGTAGGATGGGATTCATCAGCTAGCTAGTTATGAGAGTATTCTCACAATTAACCAGTTAAAGTTCAATATTGACCTTTAAATTAATCAAAGGTTCACAAACTCAAACTCTTTCCTTGTCGTCAATTAATGCATAGAGGTATTTTACATTATATGGTGGTCTACTAGAATTTGGTATCCATTAGTCAACATAAGATTGGTTTCTATTTTAATTACAGTAATGGCAAAGATCAGTATGTATATAGTTCTTCTCTGAGGACCTCACAAGCTTCTCTAAACAATATCATATTGGCAATTTCATCAACAAACTTAAATATGTTATCCTTTTCCTTTTTGCATTAACTCCCTTCAGTCAAGCTAACAAGCTCAAACTCTTAGTCCCAATGTTAGAAATAATTTAAAATCAAACACTCAACATATTCAGAGTGTAGCGTGAATTTTACAATAGTCTCACTGCAGAATTACCAAAGACTTGATTGGCATTTCACTTTTACCAATCTTCTTCACAACATAAAACAAATAGTACATATCTGTATTATGCTACATATTTAACATAAAGTTGCAGCCAGTGAGTGAGCAATAAACCTTCTAATAAAGAACTAAACAAAGTTACCAACGAAGAAAAGAAATAACCTTAAACAAACAATAATCTTAGTATAAGGGAAAGTGATCATACAGGAAACGCAGTTTCGTCAGCTTGCCTAATGAGTCTGGAATAGGACCAGTGAAGCTGTTCAAGTAAAGATCCAAGCTCACCAAATTTGTCAGATTCCCAAGAGCACTTGGAATTTGTCCAGTTATGTTATTACTATAAAGTTCCCTGTCATATGTAAATATTTGGAACAATCCATAGAAGGAAAACATTATGATTAGTAAACAACTTAGTAGTGAAACAATAACTAGGCCACATAAAACCGAAATAATGTCACCAACCAAGGTTATGAAAAGAATCCACTTCATTGACTGAGGTTATTATCCATGTAGCAAACAGTGACACAATCATAACGAGCAGAAAGGAATACAGGAACTGCCAATCTAAGCAACATAGATTATTTATCCATTAAATATGACTTACAGGTACTGTAAATTTTTGAGCTGGCCAAGATCTGGGACTAATTCACCGGATAATGCTGCATTTCCAAGATCACTGACAGAGACAAAAAGAGTTTTGAGGAACATCATGACACTCTCATGCGTTCATAAAAGAGATATTAATAAATGAAGTTGCTTACACTCTTATAACGCTGTTTTCATTGTTACATGTAACATGAAACCAAGTGCATGGATTAACAAGTGTCGGGTCCCAACTCTGCAGGACATTGTTAGGATCGAGTAAATTAGCCCGGAGGCTGTGCAAAGCATCACCTGTTTACACAAAAAACAATAATTACACAAATCAGCTTAAATTCAATGAAGAAGGCCAGTATTATCATATTTGGAGCAAAAGAGAATAGGGTCAGAATAGCATCTTTATTAGCCATATAAATTTCCGACGATGAAAAGCAAAAGCCATAGCCAAACACAAAACAAGAATGAAGCTCTTATAACTTCTTAAAATTTAAAACAAAGTAAAATTTCAGAAACTTTGGGACCTCATTATGGAACATTGCAGATACCTTTCCAGAAAATATTTTTATATTTCATATTAAACAATTAATAATTCTGATTTTTAGTAGATACTCATATTCTCTTCATCAATATCCCTGAAGTTAAAGTTAGCACCCTCTGTCACAACTACGGCATCGAAGCACCCACAAATTTGATTTGTTAGAAAATTATCAACTTTGTAAGAAATAAGATCAATGCACAATATACCAAAAATAACCATATTCTTCTATCAACTAAACTGACTCATATAAAGCACAAAGTAAATAAAAATCTCATCCATCATCACAGTCCAAGTTAACCACATATATCAATCAACCTCTTCAAAGAATACCAAATACCAAGAATCAACATAATTATCAGCAAAGAATCATCATCAATAACAGAACAAATCTCTAAAATTACAAAAATTTCTTTCAAACAAACACAACAATAATAACAAGAAGAGATCAAAAGACAGTACAAAGTAAAAAAGTGAGTACCTTCCATGTTAGCAGAGATCTTTGACAAAGGATGCACCAGCAGGATCATCCAAACCAGGAAAAGAACAAGAACCCATTTCTCCATTAATGATGTTTCACAACTTTACTCTTGCACCCACAACATGAAACCTCTCTCCACCATTTTTAACCAAAAACCACACCACACCATTTGTTTTGGAAAGATGGCCCCATCCCATGTCAAGATAAGAGTTAAACAGAAAGAAGATTATGAGAGACAGATTCTTGAATATCTTACTTTAAGTGCCAACTTTTGTGTACTTTTTTCAGCATGAATTTATATATAAATATATTATAATTAATATATTTTATATATAAGATTAAATCTCACTTGTTTCTTTTTAAGTGCAGTGACAGATAGAAAGAGAAGCTGGCGTGCTGTGTGCCCCTTTTGGGCCCAGTCAAAGCATGCACACATACAGGGAAAGGGAAAATTTTGACACCCCTAATCTTACATAAATGACAGAACCACCCACTGAGTTCATAAACTAATAACATCACCCAAACAAGTAACAATTTTATAAGACATGTTTAATGATAATTGACCTATAAATCTGTTTTCCTCTTCCTTTTTTTAACCATCATCATTGTTCATTAATCCTTAAATGTATAAACGGTGAAAATCGAGAAAAGTTTATTATATCATGTTGACAGGATGAAACTCTTCAATTAAATTAATAACATAGGAGATAGTTTTTTTTATTCCATTGACAACGATCGTCATGGTTTATCAATAATCATCATCACCGATATTTTTAACTACTTATTGGATGAAAAGTTAGAACCCTTTTTGAACGGGCAAATGAATGACATGATACATATGTTCTATCAAGACCTTTTATAGTTTGAGCTATACCTATAATTGAGTCATACTAACAGACAAAAAAAAAAAAAAAAGGATAAAATAATCATTTTATATAAATTTTGTGTAATTTTTATCTGTTTGTATGATTCAGTTGAAAGTAAAATATTATAGTTATAGTTTTGTGGTCTAACTGTTAGTTTCCAAAACTAGTGAGAGATGACTGTAATTACCATATACTTGGGGTGACAATGTAACCTTCTCCAACAAAAAGACCTTCTTGGTCAATGACAAGTACCTAATATTCTAGTTAACAAAACGGAACTAACTTCACTTGGGCGTGGTTAGGCACATCTTTCCAACAGTTCGATCAAAGTCCTGTGAGATATTTTTAATAAATATAAAAGTTTGTTCTTTAAAGGTTTGACGAGGACTCCAGTTTCGAACTCGGTTCAAACAAAATCGAGAGATAAGAGGATTTCTGAATAATAAAAAATAAAAAAAGTTGGTATTATAATGAATGGCAATGCAATATGAAAATGGAGAAGGTGGTGGGTGGATGTGTTATGCGTAGGCACTCTTGGGACATTCTGTGGTGCTTGGACCCTACTTTGTGAAAAGGATACCTCCTTTATTCAACCCTCAATGAGATGCTTACAAGTTGACAATTTCCATACACTGTTTCTTTCATTTAAAGTCAGAAAACATCCTGAAATTATGGAGATTATGGATGTTTCTAAAATATCTTAGAGGTATTGCTTCATATATATACATACAGGGTCGAGTTATAATAACTTAATTTTAAAACACTCATTTATAGTCATTGATAAATGACAATCCAATAGTTGAAACGGTAATAACATGACAAGTAAAATAATTATTTGTAACTTTCTATTCATCAATCGCTAATCGTTTCAAAATAAAGATTGAAAATTTAAGTTGATATAGTGTGACCATACATACACACACATATATATAGGTTAAGATACTATGACTCAAATTTTTGACATTCCCGTTGAATTGATCATATATGGAGATCTAGCGGTGATGAGATATATATAAGGTTGAGATATTGTAACTTAAATTTTTTTGACTTAATTTTTTACATTAGTTTTTCATCTTTGTTAATTCAATAATGATAAAATAAAAATTTAAGGTACTTACATTTAATACCAACTCAACACATTGTATTACCATTAAATCAACAAAAATAAACGGTTTATAAGGAGTATCAAAAAATTAAATCACAATATCAATTATCCCTGAAGCAAGACTATAAAACAAAGATTTATCTTCGACCTATATTAGTATTGCTACTAAAATACATGCACAAGCTCACTATATGTCTCAGATGCATAATAGGCTTAGATAAAATTCTGAAACTTGGCGGTGAGTTGTTGTATTAGTCACCTACAAGTATTAGTCGAGCTGTACGCAAGCTATTCCAGACACTCCTCCCATCTTTCCGGCAAGCCACCACCTTCAAGCATCCTGACAACCTTCATTTAAGTAGTACATGGAGGAGTTGGTGAAATTGAACTAACAACCAGAGTGCTAAATTCTTACTAAACAAGTCAATAAAGCCCCTGGTAGCAAGCAGCTGGAGTCGAAAAGGATGTTAGTTCGATTTTATCACCCTTGAAATTAGGAAGACAAGGTTTCAATGGAACGGTTCTTTTACGTGCCAATATTTTTCCAGTTCTTGAATAATTTCCTGAATAGGATCTTTGATGGAAAAACCAAGTTATGAGATGAACATCTTCGGACTCTTGAACACCCGCTTCTATTCTTCAAGAATGGTTTAAGGGTTCCTTGTTTAACTTCTCCGTTTTGCTCGTGGGATCGGATGTGTTCTATAATTCTTCTAACAAGTCTTTTTAACTTTCAGGGTCTTTATGTGCTTACAGCTCTATTCAGCACCAATCTTGAAATTTGGATCAAACTTGCTTCTGGGGTGCTTTTCTGATATGGGTTGGTGCGGTCCTTGCTTCAAGCTGTATATATATGCTTTTCTTGGAATACTGTTAGCAGTATAAAAACACAATCCGTTGCAGTTATATCAACCTGGGCAATTGGTGGGTATTTTTCATCAATCTATCTATATTCTACTGCAGTTTTTGTAGGCCTTATTGTTGCCTCAGCTTTCATGAAGCCTCTTTTTCTCAAATTATAGGATAGACCTTAACAGAAAACTCAGTAAAGTATTGATTCTGCTCTCAATCTGTGTATGTATAAATCGACACCATATCGATCGTATTATCGTTCCTGGAAGCATCCACAAATGGAATTCATTTTTTGTTCTTGCAGAATGATTCTATCGAAGGCTGGATAGAAACCATTGGTTTCTTTGGGACTAAACTGAAGACTCCTTATGGCAGCTACTTCTGCATTCCTAACACCATGTTAATGATAAGGTTAATATGATAGGTTTTTTTTTTGATATTTTTCTTTATAAATGGGCTTCAGAATTTTATTAGGGGTTCTTTAAACTTCTACATTGAAAAAGGTAGCTGGATGTAATTTGGGGGGCTTTTTAAAACTTTTTAGAAGGCTTATTGCAGGGGGTTATAAATATACATAAGGGACAGATATTTACATATTTATATAAGGACCCGAGCCCCATTTTCTAGGTCCGGGCTTGGGCTGCTTGGGGTTATATATAATTATATTATATCTATATTCTTATATAATAGTCCTATACTACACCCAACAAAAGATAGTATTATAGATAATCAAGTCCAATTTTCATCCCCAAAAGGCCAAAAGTAATCCAATCCAACCCTACCTCCCAGTCACACTCACACCCTATATAAAGATTTATTTGTACGTCTATTATTACTCATCCGTTAAATAGATTCATCTCTTTGCTTATATCAATTGATGCAAATATTAAACCACTTATCTATTAAACTTTAGCTAAATAATCAGAATTGTGGTTTTCTTTCCAAGATTGTAGAGTTAAGTATGAAATTAGGTAAGAACTAACTTGAAACTCGAAATTCTAAGAATGTTTTCAAATTAGAAAAGAATTGAGTGTTGTTATTTGAGCCTGTATCTAAACTCCAAATAAAATAAAATTATACAAATAATCATATTATAAAATTAATCTTATATTTATATCTCCTCTTCACGATCACATGGCAAGCCCTTTAATCGTTGGCCTCAATTATATTCAAGAGTTGTGTGCTCAAATCACAGGATAAACAGTTACCTTAATTATGTAATTATCTTATTCCATTGGACTTGAATAGGTGTTTTGTGACCTTTCATTATGCACAAATATGAAATAACTCATTTATGAAAAAAATAAAAAAAAATAAAAAAAAATTAACCGTATATCCTTCTTCTCCTTTTTAACTTTGGACCATGATTTTTTAAGAATCTGGGAACAAAGGTAAGCCCAAAAGTGTCCAAAACATATTTCACAAAGACAAAACTCACTTTGTGGGCAAGACAACTCTAAAAAATCCTTAACCAATCACAGCCCTTAATCCTACCCCACACTCATCTCTTAACGCCACGTGTCCTTCTAACTACCACCCCTTTCCCTCCTTTTTATTTAGTTTCTGATTTCTCCTTTCCATTTTTCTTCCTCAATTGTCTTCTTCTACTGCCCTCTTCGTCTCCACTCGCACGCCACAAACTCAGAAACCCGATTTGCATTCTCTCTGAAAATCACCATCAATGAAAATCAGGGCTAGGGTTTCATAAATAACACCCTTAGCATACCCACCAAAAAAAAAAATTCTTTAAATGGCTTCTTGTTCTGCTTCTTTGGCTTTGCCAGAACTTAGATTTCTATCATCAAAATCCTCTTCAATTCGCCGTATTTATATCTCAAAACTCTCTCTTTGTAGACCTTCTTTGGGTAGAAATTATAGGTGTCAAAGATTGAATCTTTGTGGTTATAGAGCTAGAATTCAAGCTGTTAAAGAAGATAGTGCTGTGGTTGAGGAGAAGACAGAGGATGAACTGATTGAGGACTTGAAGGGTTTTAATGGAAATGGAAATGGGGCTGCAAGTAGAAGAAGTGATAATGTCAACAGTAGTTTAAATGGGTTCTCAAATGGGAGTGCAAATGGGAATTTGGTGAAATATGTGAATGGGAATGGAGTGGCTGTGGATGTGGAAGTGGTGGGTGAAGTTGCTGAGGGAGAGTTGGTGGATGAGTTGAAGGAGAAGAAGAAGAAGGAGGATGAGAGGAAGAAGAAGGTGGAGGAGATTGGGAAAGAGGAGGCTTGGTTTAAGAAAAGTGGGCAAGAGAAACAGATTGAGGTATAAACTTTTTTGCAGTGAATTGTTGTATTGTGTTGAAGTTAATTGTGCACTGGTTTGTTGAAGTAGCCTAGATGAATAATTTAGTTCATGTAACAGAGGGTTTGATCACAATGCTACTTTATCAACTTGGTTATCAGTAAATTCAAAAGATTAAGTTGGTTGGGAATTAATTCTTCATGTTAATTTGTTGATTTGAATTCTATTTATTGAAGCTAATTCATGCAATAGAGGATTTAAGTACGGTACTAGTTGATCAATTTGAATATGCTTAATTTTAAGCTTATCTTATTAGGTAATGATGTTTACCTTTTTGTTTGTCGACTGCTTTTGTAATGATGTTTAGAAAGTAGTACAATTGAAAAAATTAAAACATAAGAGAGGCTCTGAGCTGAGCTGTCTTCTGAAGGCTTTTAGTTGGGTAGTGTATTGAAGATAACAGTGCATTTTATATCAGTTTATGGGAACACTATCATATGCCAATACATATTGCAGGTTTCTGTTGCACCTGGTGGTCGTTGGAGTAGATTCAAATCCTACTCAACAATCCAAAGGACTTTGGAAATATGGGGATTTGTTCTGACATTTATCTTTAAAGCATGGCTTAACAATCTGAAATTTACCTATCGAGGTCAGTCACTTCTAGTAGATTGAGCTTTAGTTATCATTATAATGTAACTTGATTTTAATTAGCTAGAATTCTTTCAATCTTTAACACAATGATGACTTCCCTGTAGGCTAAAGAACATCTCTAGCTTAATTGTGCATGTGGATATTTTATATCAAATTACAGGTTCAAGTTCAGGCAGTAGAAAATCATCTGATACAAATCTCATATTTGTATACTAGAAGAAACAGTCCATAATTTTTTCAAGCGAACCCAAAAAAAGGGATTAGAAAGACTCAACTTTCAAAAGTATAAGATTAGAAACACTCAACTTTCAAAAGTATAAGTAAATAATCTTAATCTTAAGGATATACATGTACACAGGAGGAATGACTGAGCAGAAGAAAGCCCTAAGGCGGAAGACCCTTGCCAAGTGGTTGAAGGAAAGTATTTTGAGATTGGGTCCTACATTCATCAAAATTGGTCAGCAATTTTCCACAAGGGTGGACATTCTTGCTCAAGAATATGTCGATCAGTTGTCTGAACTTCAGGTTAACTTTCTTTAATTTTAACTGTAAACTTTCAATGCTCCGTGAAACTGCTTGCTTCTTTTGGTTGTCTTATAACTTACTGCTGGACTATTGATTTTGTCCACATGATCCTTTGATGAGTTGTATGTTATTTATCTCTTCCCTGACAGAAAATGAAATAGCTAAAAATTTCCTGTTCAGCTTTCTTAGGACTGGCTTCTTAGCATACATATTAAATATGCCATATATGAGCAATTGACTTTCATTAGAAATGTAATGTTAAATGTTGCTGTTCTGTGATAATCTTCAATTTTAGAGGTTCTTAAAATAGTAATATGTCCTTCATTGACCTTCTATATGACATCTTTGAAGTAACTAGTAGCCTGAAAATCGCTGAAGATTGTAGGATGGAGGTGCCCAAGGTAACTAGTTCCAGATAATTACTATTCATGAAGGCTGTTTTTCCTGTTTGTGCTACCAATATAGAAGCTTCCCTGCTAGCTACTGCTAGCATACAAGCCTGCGATCTATGAAAGAAGAAAAACACTTGAAAATTAGAGTAACTTAAAAGCTACTAAATTTGCAACGGCAAGTAGTGCTAAAATACATATAAGATATGAGGAGTATTGGTTCTAGATTGCATCGAATTTGTTTTCCTGAAGGTGAAATGATAATCTCTGAATTGAAGCTACCAAGCATGGAGAAAAAACAAAACTCACCGGTTTTGAATATGATCTCGCTTCATTATCATGTTGTTAAGAAGAGGATACGACAAGATAAAATTCATTTCAGGATAAACAGAATATAGATGTTCTTGAAGAGATAATTAAAAATTGTATATTTATGTTAAGACTTAATTATTTGAGTTTTCAGTTTGTGACTTAAAACATGTTAATCAATAAAAAAGAATTTGATTTAAAGCCTAAAGATTTTGATTGCTAATCGTTTTTCTTTTTTATCACAACCCAAACCCCCCCCCCCCCCCCCCCCCCCCCCCCCCAATTTTTTTCTATTTTAGCACTAATATTACTTTTTAGCTCTGTGAAGTGAGCTTAATTTTTTGTTATTCATATTCTTTCTCTAAGAGGCAATGCGTATCACCATTCTTGTTTTAATGCCTGTCTGTCTAAAACTATTGATAGTTTAAGCCAGTACCAAATTATTGACTTTATGCAGGATCAAGTTCCTCCTTTCCCTTCAGAGACTGCTGTGTCTATAGTTGAAGAGGAGCTTGGAGCTCCTGTGGATGATATATTCGATCGTTTTGATTTTGAACCAATAGCTGCTGCTAGTCTTGGTAACACTGATTTTCCTTTGGATGCTTTCTGATTGGGAAGATTCTTGAATGTGACTGAAAGCAGATTAAGTGTTCTGAAGTTGTAGTTGTGAATTGAAGTAGCCCAACATTTCTCTTTCATCTCCAGGTCAAGTCCACCGGGCAAGATTGAAGGGAGAGGAAGTTGTTGTTAAAGTGCAAAGGCCTGGTCTCAAGGGTCTCTTTGATATTGATCTTAAAAACCTGAGGGTAACTTGTTTACTAGTTTAAAACTCTATGGTCATTCCTTCATCGTTAATGTACTTTCTGGTACTTCCAACACACAAGCCATTGTTTTATTTTTTTCCCTTCCAGGTAATAGCTGAATATCTTCAAAAGGTTGACCCAAAGTCAGATGGTGCAAAGAGGGATTGGGTTGCTATTTATGATGAATGTGCGAGTGTCTTATATCAGGTAGTTATTCAGCTCAATAGCCTTGTCACTGTGGTGATAAAGAAAAATAAAATAAAATGCCATTTAGCTTTGTACTTATCAAATGCTTGGGTCAAAGCTATAGCGTTTATAATAACTGATGTTTTACCTGTAGGTTTCATCGAAGTTCATTTATTCTATGTTTTTAACTAGTTTTTCTTTCTACAAATTGTGGTTGAGGTATATGAGAAGGTTGTTAGACTGGCCATGCTTCAAGAAAGGACATTTTTATAATGGCCAGTTCTAGCTGAAATGAGAACGTTGACATGCATGAACAGGATGCCCTGGATAAACTATTAAATTGAAGAAGTTTAGACAGGAGTAGGATTCCATAATTTAGCCAAAAACAAGTGGGGTGGAATCCTCTCATGATTAAAATCAATTATGGTCATCCATTGCTAGAAGTTTTGGTACTTTAGTGAATCATTTATATGCAGATATCAAGTGCTTATCTATTTACATGTTTTTCAGTTCACTAGTTAATGTTTGTGATGGCTAATAGATATTAAATATTTTCCAGGAGATTGATTACACCAAGGAAGCTGAGAATGCAGAACTTTTTGCTATTAATTTCAAAGAGATGGATTATGTAAAAGTCCCAACTATAAAATGGGAGTACACCACACCACAGGTTCAACCGCTCAGAATATTAGTTCTCTTTTATTTATTCTTTTTGTTCTATTTAAAATTACATACAATATTTCATTCATTCATTTGTTTTTTTTCTTTTTTTTATTTCCCTGTAGGTTCTGACAATGGAGTATGTACCAGGGATCAAAATAAACAAAATAGAAGCTTTGGATCAATTAGGTGTTGATCGGGAAAGGTTAAGACTGTCCCGATAACATTTCCAAGTCATATTATACTATCATGTTACTGTCTACACATGCTTTCAGCACCATTACTTGATTTGAGAGAAGGTGCTAAGTTTCTTGTTACTTGTTATGGTATGCAGGTTGGGTAGATATGCTGTTGAATCTTACTTGGAACAAATCTTATCTCATGGTTTTTTCCATGCTGACCCTGTGAGTTTCTACCGGTCGCTTGTTATTTTTGGTGCTAAATAAATCTGTAAGTCATTATCTAACAGTTTACCGGTGGGACAAATTTGTGGAATAAGAAAGGGAAGTCGAACTCATAGCACGATATTCACACTACACAAGAATTTTGACTAACTATTTGACCCAAAAGCTAAGCTCATATCATACTATTATGTTTGAATATGCTTCTTTATGTGCAAGGCTCATGAATTAAATGCAGCTGCAACTATAAATACAATCGCAGGCACATATACAACTTACTATAATCTGTTTTACAATAGGCGCATTTGAATACAAGACCACTTGGTTAATTTGGCTTTAATACCACGTTAAGTTTTAGGTTAAAGAAAAAATAAAAATGCAAGAAAATGGATTTTCTATTACGAACTTGCAGTATACTCTTATGTTTCATGATTACATGATGGTCTTATTCGCAATGTTGTGTAACATGGCCATCTTGTTTTTCTTTTTCCACATTCTGCAGCATCCTGGAAATATTGCGGTTGATGATGTGAATGGTGGAAGATTGATCTTTTATGACTTTGGCATGATGGGAAGGTACTCTCTAGACTTGGTGTTGATTACTTGAGACAAGTTTTTTCAGTTAATTTTCTTTGAAGTTCTGTATGATTTCCAAATATATTTTCTTTCATGTCACAATGCAGTATTAGTCCAAACATTAGAGAAGGTCTGCTGGAAACGTTCTATGGAGTTTATGAGAAGGATGCGGATAAGGTGATTATGTCCCCATTTTATTTGATTAATGATATTATGGTTCTCATAGTCAGCCTTTATTTACTTCCCCGTGGAAATTTTTACCGTAGTGCAGGTCCTACAAGCAATGATTCAAATGGGTGTTCTTGTGCCTACTGGAGATATGACAGCTGTCAGAAGAACAGCTCAATTCTTCCTAAACAGGTGCTCTCATTGGAGATTGAAATTTTTTTTTTTCGTGTTCTCTTTGCTATTAGTATCAACTCTTGAACTGCTTGTTTGGACAACCATTTCCTTAAAAAGAAGCTTTTACGTTAATGATAATGTTCAAAATATAGTTGACATAATTGTCCAGAGAATTTTGTTGGATAATGATAAAATGGTACCGCTCTTTTCATTTTTTTTTACGGAAAAAATATTAAATATATGTTTAGCGAGCTCTCTGCAGTCATTTATGTTTTTAGCCTCTCTTAACAACAATTCTTATTCTTAGCCCATGACTTATCAAGGGGCTGACATTCAACCTTGCACTTCACTGTTCCTATGATTGCATTTGATACTAGTGTCATCCTTCATGAAAATAACGCAGCTATGTATGAATCTCGTCTTTTTTTGGTTTAGTAGGACTATTTTGGTCTAACAACGTTGTCGCATTTGGAACCCAATTTTATGATCCAACTAAACTGAGAAGAAAGAGCTAACATACATCATAGAGCTCCTTCCTTTCACTTGAGCATTTTTCTGATCATGAAGTTCTTCATATTTGAACCATTGCAGCTTTGAAGAGCGTCTTGCTGCACAAAGGAGAGAGAAAGAAATGGCAACAGCTGAACTTGGATTTAAAAAGCCTTTGAGCAAGGAGGAAAAGATACAGAAAAAGAAGCAACGGCTTGCTGCTATTGGTAATTCACTAGTGTGATTTTATATGTAAGAAAAAATGATATAAAAATGATTTAAGTATTAGCTAAGACCTTATTATTTCTTGCTGATGTTAAGATTATAGGATTAGGTAATTAACTAGTTTTGTCAGATTACAGTTTGTCCATTACATATGTAGACACTGATTTTTGTCGATGAATTTTGTGAATGTACTAAAAGCTATAAACAGTTCCGGCATCAAAATTTTAGAGTATAGCTTGGTAATATGTTACTAGATTGTGTTGTCTTCCTCAGTTTAGATTTCATTTCTGAATTTTGTGATACTCAACGGCATTGTTTAAGGACCGGTTGATTATGCAAATTTTGTTCTTTGATAGTAGATTCAACCTCTAGGTCTTTAAACTTCTTTGATATGAGGTTGGTTGCGCTGCCCAGTACTCACAGTTATTAATTGCAATCTGCAGGGGAAGATTTATTGGCTATTGCTGCAGATCAACCTTTCCGATTTCCTGCCACATTCACATTTGTTGTAAGAGCATTTTCAGGTATAGTATAAAATGCGGTGGATTCATTGCTGTCGACTGATTTATTCAACAACAATTTCAGAATAGTAAGGAATAACTTTCTTTGTTACAGTATTGGATGGCATTGGGAAGGGTCTTAATCCTCGGTTTGATATTACTGAAATTGCAAAACCGTGAGTGTGATTAGGCTGACACTGTCCTCTCCAAATCTTTACTTTCATACTTTTAGAAACCGTTGTAGCTTTATTTTCTTGGGTCTATCTGAAATATATTGTTTTTCTTGTAGCTATGCACTAGAACTGCTGAAATTTCGTGAAGCTGGAGTTGAAGTTATCTTGAAGGCAAAACATCTAGACTTTACTGTGATTCTATATACTGTTATAGTAAGATTCTGTTTTCATTGTCTAGTTTAAACATTTCAGGATTTCAGAAACAGATGGGACCGGCAATCCCGTGCATTCTACAACTTATTTAGACAGGCTGACAGAGTTGAAAGGCTTGCAGAGACTATCCAACGATTGGTAGGGTTCACTATTACTTTCTGCACTTTAATTTATATGCTTTATATTGTTTGTGTTGTCAATATGAGACTTTGACTAATTTCACCAACTTCTTTTAACTCTGTCTATAGGAGCAAGGTGATTTGAAGCTTCGAGTTCGAGCCTTGGAGTCTGAGAGGGCATTCCAACGTGTTGCCGCCGTTCAGAAGACAGTGGGGAGCGTGAGTTTATCTGGCTCATACTACTTTTGTATCTTATTCATATGTTTTCTTTTCTTTACTCTCTAGGACCTCCTCCTGCTTATTTATCCTTTTATATTTTAAGCCAAAATAACTTCTCCATGATTATTTCTTTGACCATTCAACAGGCTGTAGCTGCTGGAAGCCTGGTTAACCTTGCAACAATTTTGTATCTCAATTCTATACGAGTAAGCTATTCATTTTTAACTTCTGATATTATGCATTGTTTTTGCCCCTTTGATTCTTAGTTCATACCTAACATTCAACTCATTTGGTTTTCTACTGCAGATGCCAGCCATTGCAGCATATACTGTATGTGCATTCTTCGGTGTCCAAGTTCTCATCGGAATCATAAAGGTCAAGAAATTAGACGAACGGGAAAAATTGATCACAGGAACCGCTTAAGCAATCGGTTAGTAAATCTTCTTGTGTATCCTATACTCATACTACCAATCTGGAAATGTAAAGCATTTTACAGATTTCAACTCCATGCTTCCTGCAGACTCACAGCAGCTCTAATAATGGAAAAGTTCATCTCATCTGACACTCCTGATTACGACCAAACTTCACAACCACGCAAAAGGAAACGAAGATGAAGATCTAAATATGCTCTTTAACATGAAATCGGGTCGAAACCTCTGAACTTGCATACATGTCCGAAGGGTTAAATGCAACAAAACTAGGAACTTTTATTGTTGAAATAGAGTGAATTTTCCACAGGAAAATGTAGTAAATGAGTGTCTTGAGGTAAAACCTAGTGTAGAGTTCTATATGTAACAATTCTATGGCCACCCATTGCTATTCTGCAAAATGGGCTGTCCATAAACTGTGTATAAATCTTTTCTATAAAATTTCTTGGTGGTAACGTATTTCACTGTATACTTTTTGTAAAATGCCATGTGTAGATGAATTACACCCAATCATTCCAGATAAGGCTTGCATTCTACGATCAACATTCAAAAACTTCATATAAGCTTCATGCACTGCAAACGCGTCACAAAATTACAAATCTATCATTATAATAGTATAGTACTCTATCGACACGGGAAAATCGCTAAGTATTATTGGGATTCAGGAGAGGTTTTCAATACTTTCTGAATATCGCAAATGCAGTTAATACCTAACTTCGCTTACAGGTCATCCATGTTAAAAATTCTAGAAAAAATAAAAAGAAGTTATGGGATTTGGCCTTACTTGAAACTGAAAGCTGATAAATCTGAGAATATTATTAATGGTGGTTTGTCATGTTCATCTTCCTTTTGTATCTGCAGAATCACAGGTTGATTTACATTTCATTAATCGAGCTCAGAGAATTGTCATTTTGTATATTACAGGACAATTTTACACTCCCTTCCTTCCGTTTTTTTGTCTCTTCTTTTAGTTGTTTCTGGGTTTGTCTTATTAATATGCAAAATGATTCAACACTAGGCATCTTGGAAGGAAGATTGATTTCAGATGCTTCTTAGAAAGGATTCAAAATTCATTTTACATATTTTTTTTTATTGATTATCATATTTTCATTAATTAAGATATATTAACTTTGAGTTACAATCGTAATTCGAATACAATCATTATAAAATATGGTGTTTTATACCCTAAAATCTCCTTATAATGTTATGTTTAACAGTTCTATAACACAGTTCGTCATTTCTATAGACTTTTTTTTTCTTCTTTAAATCTAGATTAAAACGCTTGCCAATGACAGAATGTGACGTTCTAAATCGTAAAATAACAAACTCTGTTAATGTTGAACTTTGACACCAATGACTTACACGCGTAAACTGTTAAGTGGATTTATAAATTAAATGTGATATGAAAATGTGCAATGAAACAAGAGACGATTTTTAAAGTGGTTCAGATGCTCAAAAGCGAATCCTACGTCCATTATATATGTATTAATTGATGATTACAGTCAGATCGCGTACAGCGATATCCTTAATCGCGTAGGGCTTGGGTAGGTGGATAATTCCTAGCCACTCACAAGCCAGACTTTCACCTGCCACACTGACGACAGTCTTACCTCTTCTGTTCTTGCACAACGTGACAACGTTTGGATGGTACAAAGCCTTCTTGAACTCTGATTGGCCCTTGCTAGCATGAGCTTACGTCAACCCTGAATTTTTAGACATAACACTCTCATATATAAGAATCAACTCTTAGGATGATAGTTCAACTTCAACTTCAAAGTCCACACTTAAAAATATTCGTACTAATTAACGACGATCGTTAATTATTACCTGATAATCAACTATTTAATTCATTCTTTTTAAGTCAGAAAATCCAATTCTGTCAACAAACCACCCACAGAATTGTTGAACCACATTTCTTGAACTTGAGGATCAAAATTATTGATCTGAATTAAACTAATTAACAAGAATATTAAATAATGATAATCACATAAGTCAAATAAAAAATCAATTAAATAAATATGGAAATTTTACTAACAAGTCTAGATGTGACAGAAAATGCTACAAAAGGGTAGCTTGAAAATGTTCCCTGAAAATGCAATTAAAAATTCAATTAAATCACAAAAGATTCCACAAGTCATGTTCACTTGTAATACAAATTAATTATAATAATTATTTAATTATTATAATTCAATATTTATTGTCTCTGTTTCTTACAATGTGATCAAAATGAATCTTCTATGAACCCATTAGAAATTTAAATTAAGAGTTATTATCTCTCGCCTCCATTGAAGTTTAAGGAAATGTCNTTTACTAACAAGTCTAGATGTGACAGAAAATGCTACAAAAGGGTAGCTTGAAAATGTTCCCTGAAAATGCAATTAAAAATTCAATTAAATCACAAAAGATTCCACAAGTCATGTTCACTTGTAATACAAATTAATTATAATAATTATTTAATTATTATAATTCAATATTTATTGTCTCTGTTTCTTACAATGTGATCAAAATGAATCTTCTATGAACCCATTAGAAATTTAAATTAAGAGTTATTATCTCTCGCCTCCATTGAAGTTTAAGGAAATGTCTGTAAAACCCTTAAAGTATGAGAAATCATCAATAACTTCCCTTTGGATATGGAAAAATCATCACTTACCTCAGATGATCAAACTTAACATGATCAGGGAAGGGAGCTAGTTGATGAGTTCTAATGCTTATGGTGTCCTATTGATATTTTCTTAAACCTCAAGGGAGACAAGAGATAATAAGCCATTAAATTAAGCCATTTTGAGTTTAACATGATCAGGGAAGATTAGCGATAATTCTATGTGAGATGAAAAGGGAAATAGCTCATAATTTCTACTGCTTATGGGGTCTTTCTGATATTTTCTTAAATGTCAAGGGAGGTAAGGATACTGAGCCATTTGGGTTTGACTTGGCTAGCCATGGCTCTAGTGCTCTGAGCCAGGTCAAGTGAACCAGAGGACAATTATCAGACTTTTAGTCTTGTGACTCACAAAATCCAAGAAGTATGTTGGAGTAGTGTGATTAAGATAAGGCTATATTAGATTCATAATTCTACAAGGGTGACTTTGAAAATTTTACAAAGATTTAGGGTTCATATGTTATAATGTTAAGTGTTTTCTCGTTAGAAAATTATGGGGGTAATTAAATCATATAATGTCATTGGGGTGATATTATAAATGGTTTTAGATCAAAGGATTTAAATTATTAAGAAAAAGAAAAAATAAAAAAATAAACTATCTCAATTATATATATATATATAACCTTGAATATTCTCTCAAATCGTACTGAGGATTAATTTAAATCTGAATTATCACTTAGTATCATAATAAATTGAAATCAATAAAATTTCAACCAAACCTTTAAAAACAATAAAACTTTATATTTAACGTTAATTGACAGTCATAATCAATGGTTTGGTTTCGAAAAAATGTTGGTATATTATGAATTTTAGCTGTTCATTTTGTCAATCTAATAGTATTTAAAGCTTTTAACACTAATGAATCGACAAAGAAAAAGGGTTCACAAACAATGTAAAAAAATTTAATTACACTATCCCGAACCTTATAAAAATATGACCGTCTACATCAGAAAATGACTTAAAACTTGTTAAAACCCATAGATAGTGGGTAACAATGACAATTAATCAAATTATAAAGCATGTTTATTATTATAAAAAAATATGGGCTTTAAAAAATTGAAAAAAAACAACTGTATGCCAACATATATACTGCAGTAACCAGAGAAGCATAGCATAAAATATATTTATTTATAAATAAATAAATAATTATATTCTGTTTGGTCCACATGTTTGGATTGCTTCTTTGAATCAGCTTTTTAAAGTTTATTACTTTCCAGTTTGGACTCTTCTACCAAACACCACTTTAATATTTATTTATTTATTGATATTATTATTATAATACCCAGTGGCCAAAATTTATATTTGTGCTTTGCATGTACTCAAAACTATCCAGTTAATCTTTAGACCATAATTCAACAGTACAGATAAGAGGTAATGTTACCTCAATATTGCAAATTGATTTTATACGAATTATGTTATTGTAAGTAACATTACTATGCTCCTGAACCATTAGACTATGGTTCGATTAACCTTCAAACCACAATATCAAGATTCAAGTGAGAGTAACGTTACACTCGATATTTTATACTAACCCTGCTCGATTGCTCGTATAAAGGTCTTCATAGAGAGAGCTGTAACATTACCCTCGTCCTCCTAAACCATTAGATCATTGTACAATTTAATCAACCTTCAAGCAATAATATAAAGATCTAGATAGAAAATAACGTTACACTTAATACTGTAAAATAACTCTGTTTACACATAAAGAGGTCATTTAAAAAAAAAAAAAAAAGATAAAATACTTATAAGTAATAAAGGTACTATTTTCAAGCAGATTCTAAACGAATGATAATTACTGATACAATAACATTATTAAAACCGATAAAATAGTGAAATTTATGTACATGGAGTGTTAATTTACTTGCTAAGTGACATTATTATTGTGATTTAACATGAATACACAAATAGATTTTATTAATTAATTATTGCGTAGCTAGAAAATTAAGTTGAAGATCCCCATAATATTGATCCAATAATTCAACAAATAAAATCTACCTCACAAGCTAAGCTAGCTAATTAATTAATTAAAAGATTAATAATGTAATTAAGGGAGAGAGTTGGTGTAGATGTAATCTTCATGCACTAAAAAACTCTCTTCTGTTTCTGATGCCCCACTCTTTCCTTCCTTGCACTCAACTCCCTCCTCTCCACACTCAACTCCCACCTGCACTCAATTAATTATCCATATCAATCGTCACGACATAGCAAATATATACAGAAGAACTTATAGTCTTAGATGAAACAGATATATCAACTGTATTATGTGTAGTATAGGCATATGTACAACGAGATTATACTCGTTCTATTTAAGACTACTATTTCTATACGTATACGTACGAAATACAAATACAGAAAGATCAGAAACATCATAAACTCACCACATTACTGGCGAAATTCTGAGCACCAACTGCAAGTTCCTTGGCAATGTCCTCTTTCCCACCATGAACAACAAACATCAAGAAGAAGAAGAAGAGAAGAGCAAGAAAGTGAAAGAAACTACTTGAACTTTTCACCATTGAGACAAAATCAAAAGAAAGAGAAGCTCTCAAGTTTCTTTCATTGCACAATCTGTATAGTGGTAGAATTAAATTAAATTATTCATTAAATAATTTTTATTTATATGAGAGAAATAGTGAGAGTTTTAAGCTCTCTTTTGACCTGTCTCCAGATTCCTTGGCAATAAGCTCATGCCTCTAGAAAATGGGTTGGCTAATTTGGTGTTTACTAGCTCAAAAAATATTATAAAATTAACAAATAAATTTAATTTAATTAATAATTATATATGAGAGAGAGGGACAAGGGAGTTGTAAGATGTTTGGTGTACAGTACATTTGATTCTTCACTTAATTAATTGCCACCGTCTAAATTTGATTATTTTTAAATTGGGATTTGTATCTTTACGTATCCAATTTAATTACTTCATAATTTTTTATATAAATTCTTATTTATTGATTCGATATAATCCGAAAAATTGATATAAAAGTTAAAAATAGTTAAATTTAAGGTTGAGTTGTAGATTTTTCAAAATTAGATCACTGTAAATTACAGGCTAAGAATTTATATTATAAATTTGTATGATAATAAATTAACCCGTTATTTTATATTCCGTCATATAACTTATATCATGATTGTTAATATAAGTCCCTATTTAAGTATATATTAGTAATTACTAATTAATGAAAAAAATTAGTAAAATATAATACATTTTGATTATATATTTCCATGTGCCTATTTTATGAAAACTTATATGTAATTAATGCATTATTTGTATCTAATAATATTTTTGATAAGCCTTCGAAAAATACTCTACATTGAAAAATAATCTAATATCTAAAGATATTTTATTTATTTATATTTGTTCCACTAATTTAAAAATTATCTAGAATTTCTCCTAAGTTATGTCATTCAATAAGCCTTTGAGGCTATATGTTGCTCTACCCTTTTTTATGTATTTAACAAAATAAACATGTGAAATATTATTTTCCTTTATTTTTTATTTTATGTCATCAAAAAATCAATTGATTTAGAATTTACGTAGAATTTTTTTTTTTTTAAAACAAGAGATATAAAAGTAATTTTAAAACACGTTTTTTATTAAACTGTTTTCAAAACAGTCTTCAAACACAATCATACGAAGTAAATAAACTCCAAAAAATTAAAATTATATATTTTTTTAAATATTTAATTTTGAAAACAGTTTTTGAACCATTCAAAATTACAAATTATTTACAAATATTTATTTTTTAATTATTTATTTATTAAAAAAATTTGGGCTTCATATTGGGTTTAGTTGGTGTTCATTGGGGCCAATAAACTTCCAACTAACTACACACGTGTATGATGATTGGCAGTGGACTTTTTTGTAAAACATCTTAAAGGCATTTCTATTAAGAAAAATATTTTAAATTTAATTTTCCAAATAAAACGTTTTTTTATTTTTTATTTTTTATTTTCTTTCAAGTTAGATTAGATCTTGTTTTATCTTAAATCTAAATAAAAGTTTAAGATATTAAATAGTCACTTAATATTGAAAGTAATCATCACAAAATTGGAGTTAATGAGATTATTTAATTAGATTAGTTGAAAATTGAGAATTGGATGAGAAACCGAGTCGAGATCAAGATGATTAAGATTGATTTGATATGATTTGTGATTTGATTTGATTAGTTGAAAGTTTTATGTGATATATGAGTCGAATGCGAAATCCTTAACTCTAACATCATATTTTTAAAATTACTTGACTAAAAAATTTAAGCTACCAGACAAAGATCCAATATTAATAATTTAAATCCAACATATATTTATTTAATGTTAAACATAAATTTAAGAAAAAATGATTAACTATAAAAAATTAACAATGGGATATCTTATTATATCATGATTAAATTTATTTTTGAAATATTGTAACATGGTAATATAACATTTATCATATTTACAAGTTATATTTCGATATAAGTTTAACATTCAATGTTTTAATTTATATAAAATTCTCTTATGATTGAAATTGAACTAATTTTCTCATAAATATAATTTATATAAAAGTAAGGCTAGCGTAACAATCCATAGTCACGGTCTCTCACTTAAATTGAGAATACTCAAATAAGGAATCGAACCTGAGATCATGTGCCTATCCACACTATCTTCGATTTGCCTAAACCATCTGGGTTACTGACGGATGGGTAGTTTTTTTATTTTTTCTTTCCACTTATATATAAAAGTCAACACAAAATAAAATTTCAATAGTGACTATTTAACTTTAATTATGAAAAATTAATTATCAGTAATAAATTTTAAAACTCAAGTGGTTTTTAATTGCCCTAAAGATCAATTCAAAATTTTCATAATTTTTTTTTAAGAACTTCTCCTTTACATGAGAAATCTTTACCTACTTTCCAAATAAAATTAATTGTTTATAGTTAGGCCAAATATAATGACAATTAGATGTATAATTAATTGTGATTATACTAATCCCATTAATTAATTATTATAGTTGAACCATCCATCCTACACTTCTTCCCTTAGAAGGCATACAATGCCAACTAACGTCGTTAGTTGGCCGTTAGTTGAGATATGTAATGGTACAAGCATGCCTATCATAGTAGATCTATACTTGAACCAAAGGGACAAGGTCAAAGAAGATTGATTTGATTCCACTCAACAGTCACAATAGTCATAATTATTGGTATGAAATAAATTTCACACCCTTGAGGTTTAAAATGTGGAAAAAAGACACCCTAAACGAGTAAACGGAAAAATAGTTGCCCATAATATTAATATATAAAAAAAAAATATTTTTTTTTTAACAAATAATCGTTGAATACTACAAATCTATCTAGTTTTCTATAAAATCAAATCAAGTTAAAATTTGAATAATAATACACTCTATATTATTCACTAATATTTACTGTTATAAGTTTATTGTTATAATATTGTAAAATACAACGATAAACTTGTGCCACATGTGCCAATGCCTTGAAGGCATCATAGACAAACAAAAATAGTCCTCATAATTTACAAATTCTAGTGGTGTTGTTAGTTTGGGGGTGATTTTGTAAATATTAAAAATGTATAGGAGTAAAATGATCCAAATAGAGCTGCGGGGGTGTTATGATTTTTACAACTTCTAACGGTGTTGTTAGTTTAAGGGTGCGTTTGTTAATATTGAAAGTATACGTAGTTCACTGTTATCTATATAAACCTTGATGGTGTTAACAGATCTCACTTAATTTAAATTCATTAAATCAATCTCATGGATCTAATAAAATATTTTAAAAATACTATATAGTGTAACATCCACACGATTATTAAAAAATTTAACTATGAAATGGTCCAATATTCCAATTTAAGGGGTGTACTATTAAATTATTTCAACTAGTTTTAGACAAAATATTTTATTTAAATTTTTCATCATATGTTTAGGGTAATTTTTTTTTTTTACTACTTCAAAATTCAAATATAACCTAAATTCTAGCAAATAATAAAAAAAAAAAATGACCGAATTCAGATTATAAAATGAAATTATTTATTTTTGTCTATTATTTGACCAGAATTTCTCATTATTAGATCATATTCCACTAGTACTTTTAACATTTTTAATCGAGTATATAATAATAATAATAATATAATATTTTCTTCCATATTGTCTTAACAATATTAACGGCTCCGTTTGGTTCACAATTTTGTGCTTTTGGGAAAAGTTTTGTGAAAAAAGTTAAAAAAAAAGTTGAATTGGGCGGGTATTACGATGTAGGATTTACAAATTAATAAAATACCCCATATGTTTGTTTTTTTACAAAACACCCCTTATAATAAAGCATTAAAAGTTAACAAAAAAACCCCCAATTCACCCTCAAATACGGACAGTCGGCCACCACTGCCGGAGGGTGGCCGGAGTCGCCGTAACAAAAACATTAAAAATATTTAGGGGTATTTAATTGAATTAACAAATTTAGGGGGTTTAAAAAATGTTGAATAAAGTTAAATAATATTGTGAGTTTTTAGGTATTTTACTGTTTAACTTTTTTGGGAATACTAAAAGTAGTATTCCCAAAATCCAACCAAACGAAGCCAACATGTCTCTTATTAGCAAATATTCCCTTAACTAGAATCTTAAGTCATATAGACGTAATTTAAGATTCTAACCCGACGATGATTGTCCTTAATTTGTTTCTTATATATAGTAGCTTACGATTGAATTTTTAGACTCATTATTCTAGAAACATTATCGATAAATAGTATTGGATTGAAATCTTAGACATGATTGAAGATTTTAATCTAGCGTAACACTACTAATTTGATAACATTATTGAACGAATACTATAATTATTTTGAAATGTCTTAACAACGAGTGTAAAATTGATTAGTACTTTAATCTTCTCGTAAGCTTTCCCTGATCAAAACATAAGATTATCGACCGTGATCAATAGCAAAAAAATAAAACAAGAAACAAGTCTCAACCCTTGATGCTAGTTAACATACACGTACTACAATATTTATGAAAACTCAGAAATATTCATATTAGAAGAACTTAATTGATTCTAGAAATATTATCACACTAACAATTATTGTTCGATATCGAATCAAAAAAGAAAAAAAATACTTAAATGTCCCATGGGAGTAAGGTAAACTTTGGCCGTAAAAACTCATTGAACTCAAGAAAATCAGTAAAACTTATATGCAGATCAATATACTTATATCATAAGATTTATAAAAACTCAAGAGATATAATATAAGAAGAAAAAACTGATTCAATGCAGATATTTAATCAAAGTGATAATCATCGGTAAATTAGAATCTGGAACCATATTAACAAGAGTCAATAACATTATCGAACAAAATGCATATCCTAAAGCACATCGAGCATGAGAAAATCAGTTAATCATACTGATTCTAAAAATATTATTAAACCAATAATTAGCGTTAGACTAAAATCTACCGAATCAGACAAGATACATGTCATAAAATAGGTCAATGGCGAGTATGGTAAATTTTGGTCTTAGGAATAGAAGAAAACCAGCTAACGCCGTCAAATGAAGCCGGCATCATCGGCATCACCATCATCAGTCTCACAGCTTACTCTTAGCTTACCCTTAGCTCACTCCCATCTTAACCCTTTCTTCCTTTCTTTACAGTGAAAGAGGGGAAAAAAAAGTAAAACAAAAAACAAACAACACAAGACAACACCATACCACACCATACACACTCTCTCTCACAAACACAACACAACAAAACATACATAAAATACTACAAATCTTGTCCTTTACAGAGTGTAGTTACTCATCCCCAACAACCAACACACCACAACACAACACACAAAACTCAGAACCAAACCCCAAAATCACACCCCTCTTCTTCTCCATCTTCTTCAACTCATTCTTTTGAGTTTTTGTTGTTAGGGTTTTGAGGTTATTTGGCATATGAATCTTTATTATTGTTTGTAATTTCTTTGTATTATGACTCACTCTTCTTCTTTGATATCTTTCTTCTTGTTGGTCTTGTTGTTCTTGTGTGTGGTTTCGAGTTCTCGGGGCTCCGAACGCGAAACCGGATCTCTGCTTGAGTTCAAGAAAGGAATTAGCAATGACCCACTTGGAAAAATCCAGTCTACATGGAATCTTTCTTCTCTACCCGACCCGAAGGCCTGCCCCGTGTCGTGGACAGGGGTTACTTGTGACCCCGCTTCCGATTCTGTCATTTCTATTGATTTGAGCCAAATGGGTTTGTACGGGGACCTGAAATTCAGCACGTTGTTGAACCTGAAGGAGTTGCAGAATCTTTCTCTTGCCGGGAATAATTTCTCGGGTCGGTTGGTGCCCGCATTGGGATCCATGAGTTCGTTGAAGTACTTGGATCTGTCGGGGAATAGTTTTATTGGTCCGATCCCGGGCCGGATCATGGATTTGTGGGGTTTGAATTATTTGAATTTGTCTGGAAATAAGTTTGAGGGAGGGTTGCAGGGGAGTTTCAGGAACTTGCAGCAGCTGAGGGTGTTGGATTTGCATTCAAACCAGTTGAAGGGCGATATTGGGCAAGTGTTGAGTGGGTTGAGGAATGTTGAGGTTGTTGACTTGAGTTTGAACCAGTTTTATGGAGGCTTAGGAGGGGTGAGTGTGGATAATGTTTCAGGCATTGTGAACACAATGAAAGCTATGAACTTGAGTCAAAATGGGTTGAATGGGAGGTTTTTTCCGGGGGATGTGATGGGGTTGTTTAAAAGTTTGGAGGTTTTGGATTTGAGTGGAAATGCGATTTCCGGTGAGTTGCCGGTTGGTTCATTTGGGAATTTGATGAATTTAAAGGTCTTGAGGTTGGGGAATAATCAGTTGTTTGGGATGGTTCCTGAGGACTTGTTGCAGAGTGTGGTTCCAATTCAGGAGTTGGATCTCAGTGGCAATGGATTCACAGGTGATGATTTTGAAATGAAATTTTAGTTTGTTTTGACATGTTTATATGGATATCAAATATGTTCCAAAGTCGAGTTTGCTTTGAATTTTTTTGTCATAGAGAATGCATTTCTGGTTGCAATATGGATGTAATTGAATTAACATGAGATGATGTAGATTATCGGGATCCAGAATTTAGCTATTATAGTTCTTTTAAAGTGGTTGTTATGTTACCCGTCTTTTCCTTCTCGAAATTTCATTTGGAACATTTTGGAGATGATTTGATGCGGTAGTATAGATCATTTTTGCATGTAGATACCTATAATGAATAATTGATTTCAGAAAAAAAGGTGTAGTAGAAGTTTGAGAAAATTAGCATTTTAGGCCTTTGGATCTTGTCATATTAGTGCCTGATAGGTGATTCTTCATGTGATGTTGACAATACAGACAATTATTTACAAAAGCCGGTCTGTCTAAAATTCATTATATAAAATTTTAAGTCCTTGGATCGATGAAGAAACTATATTCTATATGCTGATTTATGAACACAGAGGTCTCTATGCCATCCAGCAGATTAGACCATTTTTGGGTGATATTTATTGGGTTTCAGTGTGTTGTTATAAGATCTAGTTAAGTGGAAATGGCGTTTTGTCGAGTGAGTGTTTCAATACAACAGAACTTGAAGTAGCGAAAAGGATTTTAGTATGGACACTTGTTAAGAATTTTCTTTTTCTATTTGGTGGTTGAGGTAATTATTTCTACATGAATGGTCATTAATACTTTTAAGTTTATTCTAGGCCCCATAAACAGCTATGCTCAAATCATTGTCAGATATAACATTCACCTTGTAGAATTTGAGTAATTCTGAGTTCAAGCTTCAGAATAGAGAATACTGCTTATTTAAGTTCACTATAGTTTTTGCTGTCAAAGAATACTGTAGCAAACTTATTAATAATAATTTTTGTAATTGCTTTTGCTAATGATAAAATAATTTAATTGCCACTTCCGAGTTGCACTTACGTCTTTAGATTATTTGTGTAGTGAATTGTAGGCCAATTTTCGTTTATGTTGTGTTTTGACCGTAATTTTTCTTCATTCTTATATACAGGTTCTATTCCTGGGATTAACTCCACATCTTTGAATGTTTTGAACCTATCATCAAACAGTTTATCAGGTTCTTTGCTGTCTTCTTTAAAAAGCTGTAAAACAATGGATCTGAGCAGAAATATGATTTCCGGTGACATATCTGTTATGAAAAATTGGGAAACAAGTTTGGAGTTTCTTGATTTAAGTTCAAACAAGTTGTCAGGAAGCTTACCAAACTTGACTTCTCAGTTTTATAGATTAAATACACTTAATCTCAGGAATAACTTGCTAGTAGGTAACTTGCCTTCTCTAATGGAGACCACTCCGAGATTGGTTGCTGTTGACCTCAGTTCAAATGGATTTAGCGGGTCCATTCCTGGTAGTTTTTTCACCTCAAATAACTTGGTAAGCCTGAATCTTTCAAGTAATAAGTTTGTGGGGCCTATTCCTTTTCAAGGATCCCGTGCAAGTGAATTGTTAGTTCTGCCTACATATCCTCTAATGGAGTCTCTTGATCTCTCTGATAATTCCTTAGAAGGAGTCTTGCCCTCGGACATAGGGAACCTGGGAAGACTCAAATTACTGAATCTTGCAAACAATGACCTCTCGGGACAGCTACCTACTGCATTGGGCAAACTTAGTGACTTGGAGTACCTTGATTTATCTGGAAACAAATTCAACGGTCATATCCCTGATAATCTTTCATCTAGACTGATTGAGTTTAATGTATCAAATAATGATCTGTCGGGCCCCATTCCAAAAAAATTGAGAAACTTCCCTAAGTCTTGTTTCCGTCCTGGTAATCACTTGTTAATCATCCCAGATGGCATGGCATCAACAAATGATGCTGAAGGTAAGGTTCCTGCAGAAGTAAAACATCATAGTTCGAAGAACAGTATTAGAGTAGCAATCATTGTTGCCTCAGTTGGAGCTGCTTTGATGATTGTTTTTGTTTTGCTGGCCTATCATCGGGCACAGCTGAAAGAATTTCATGGTAGAACGAAATTTAGTGGCCAAACTGCGGGGAGCGATATTAAGGAAGGAAGACTGCTTTCCCTTTTCAATTTCCACTCAAACGTTCAGCGCCCACCAACTTCCTTGAGCTTTTCAAATGATCACTTGCTTATTTCAAAATCAAGGTCATTATCTGGGCCGACGGAATTTGCAACTGAAATTACTGAGCAAACTGAGGGAGTGGCTGCCGGTTCAGCGTCTATGAATCCTAATTTGATGGATATTCATCCTGCAACATCTGGAAGGAAGTCCTCTCCAGGCTCTCCATTGTCTTCCTCACCCCGTTTTGTTGAGGCATACGAACAGCCTGTGAAGCTGGATGTGTACTCACCAGATCGGTTGGCTGGAGAACTGTTCTTCCTGGATGCTTCACTGGCGTTCACAGCTGAAGAATTATCTCGTGCCCCAGCTGAAGTTCTTGGTAGAAGCAGCCATGGAACTCTGTATAAAGCTACTCTAGACAATGGGCATATGTTGACTGTGAAATGGCTGCGGGTGGGGCTGGTCAAACATAAGAAAGAATTTGCAAAGGAAGTTAAAAAGATAGGATCTATGAGGCATCCAAACATTGTTCCACTGCGAGCATACTATTGGGGACCTAGGGAACAAGAGAGGCTTCTTCTAGCAGACTATATCCAGGGAGATAGCTTGTCCCTACATCTTTATGGTAAGAACTCTTCTGAATTTATATTTTTGGATTATTTTTAATCCTTTCCTGCTAACTTTCTCAGTCACATTTTGAGTACACTACTAAGGTCATTTAAATCTTGAATAGGTCTTGAATGATACTTTATGGTCTTTCTACATTTACTTCAGTACGGTCTTTCCTCCAATAGGGGAGTTTCCATTAGTTGGACGTGATCCACATTGGATGCTTATGCCTCTAATGCTGCCCTATGGGCCTGGCTTGCTATTCAGGTTTCTGACAAGCCTTGAGATTGCTGATTAACAGCCATCCTAGCCTGTCATGATATCTAAGCTCGACTTTCTTGTGGATTCTGTAATATAGCTTGTGGCCTTGTAATATATTATCTGCTGGATATTTTAGCAGACTTAAGTGAGGTTTGCCCTGTTATTGTTTACTTCCTATTAACGTGGTCACATGGATAGATGTCTTATAGTTCATGTACAAATTTGGTTTCAAATGGAAAGTTGTTTTCGAGTAAAATCTGGTTGCAGTCTGCTTCTCTCCCCTGGTCTTGACATGTGTAAATTTTGGCTTGATTACAACCATTATTCTCTTAACTAAGATGTATTAGATAATTTTGCACTTCAATCTTTGGGCCAAGAGTAATCGGCTATTCTAGGTTTCATTTTTGCCACTGTCTTGCTATCTAGATTTACCTGTCCGCAACCACTGTGTTTCCTGGAGTTTTTTGCACTGCAATGAGCTCTTTTCTTTAGTCTTTTAGTATTAAATCCATATATTCATTAACGCAGAGAGCACTCCTCGAAGATACTCCCCATTATCGTTCATTCAAAGACTGAAAGTTGCTGTGGATGTGGCTCAATGTTTGTTGTATCTTCATGATAGAGGCTTGCCACATGGAAACCTAAAACCAACAAACATACTCCTGACAGGCCAAGATTACAATGTTCGCCTTACAGATTATGGTCTTCACCGCCTAATGACAGCAGCTGGAATCGCCGAGCAGATATTGAATCTAGGAGCACTCGGATATCGAGCTCCAGAACTTGCGAATGCATCCAGACCAGCCCAATCATTCAAGGCTGATGTGTATGCATTTGGAGTGATCCTGATGGAATTGTTAACCAGAAGAAGCGCTGGTGACATAATATCAGGCCAATCAGGAGCTGTCGATCTCACTGATTGGGTTCGCCTCTGTGATCAAGAAGGTCGTGGAATGGACTGCATCGACAGAGACATTGCAGGCGGGGAAGAACCCACAAAAGCAATGGACGATTTGCTCACGATATCGCTCAGGTGTATTCTCCCTGTAAATGAAAGGCCTAACATCAGACAAGTCTTTGATGATCTCTGTTCTATATCTTCTTGAAATTTTGTAAATGCGTCTTGGAATTATTTTTTTCTTGTTCCTCGACCCAATTCTCGTTCTTTTCATTTTTCGTCCCTTAATTCTTCTTTCGATTAATTGGTTTCTAGCCTGCTGATTTTGGGGCTAATCATCACATTTTTTCACTGAAAATTTTCTTGTAAAGGAACAACTCCATTGATTATTTGACGGTGTTTTGAGTTTGATAATCATCTTCAATTGGAAAAAGGATTGCAATTCTTTTGTGTTCTCTCAATGTGTTTATTTTCATAGCAAGAAATTACTTAAGCCTTTTTGGCCATCTTGTACTAGTTTGAGACATTAATGAGATAGATTATTAACGAAAAACTGCACTATTTGAACACCACAATCCTTTAATGCAAATACTTGGTATCGATTAATAGTTTATTTCTCTCTGATAAAAGATCAATGGTCAAACTTTTTTATTTGAATATACTCATAGATAATTTACATGGTTAAAGGTTATTGTTTTATGGTTTAGACAAAGGTTTTTCAATTCTGAACTCACGGTTGCTTTTATTGGCATTTTGAGAATTTTTGTTTGAATGATGAATAATTAATTTTGCATGGGGAATAAGCCAACAATAATAAAGTTTAGTCAAAACGCCTTTACATTTAGTTACCAAACAAAATAATTGCATAACAACCAACTTGATTTTTTTAATAAAATAAGAAAAATAAAAAAAATGAGAAAAACAAGAAACCCACAAAAAATGAGGTTAACATCACATCACTAATAGTGGGTTAATTCTATTTCTTCTTATGATTTTTGGCTAATTATCACAACATATAATTTTCTGTTGATTACTGAAAAAGCCTGATTGAGCTCAAATTAGTCTTAATAATAATTAAATTATTAGGTTAGTAATATGTTTATTAAAAAAAAAAAATGACTGAAAAATATTAACATATACACCCCNGTTAGATAATTTTGCACTTCAATCTTTGGGCCAAGAGTAATCGGCTATTCTAGGTTTCATTTTTGCCACTGTCTTGCTATCTAGATTTACCTGTCCGCAACCACTGTGTTTCCTGGAGTTTTTTGCACTGCAATGAGCTCTTTTCTTTAGTCTTTTAGTATTAAATCCATATATTCATTAACGCAGAGAGCACTCCTCGAAGATACTCCCCATTATCGTTCATTCAAAGACTGAAAGTTGCTGTGGATGTGGCTCAATGTTTGTTATATCTTCATGATAGAGGCTTGCCACATGGAAACCTAAAGCCAACAAACATACTCCTGACAGGCCAAGATTACAATGTTCGCCTTACAGATTATGGTCTTCACCGCCTAATGACACCAGCTGGAATCGCCGAGCAGATATTGAATCTAGGAGCACTGGGATATCGAGCTCCAGAACTTGCGAATGCATCCAGACCAGCCCTATCATTCAAGGCTGATGTGTATGCATTTGGAGTGATCCTGATGGAATTGTTAACCAGAAGAAGCGCTGGTGACATAATATCAGGCCAATCAGGAGCTGTCGATCTCACTGATTGGGTTCGCCTCTGTGATCAAGAAGGTCGTGGAATGGACTGCATTGACAGAGACATTGCAGGCGGGGAAGAACCCACAAAAGCAATGGACGATTTGCTCACGATATCGCTCAGGTGTATTCTCCCTGTAAATGAAAGGCCTAACATCAGACAAGTCTTTGATGATCTCTGTTCTATATCTTCTTGAAATTTTGTAAATGCGTCTTGGAATTATTTTTTTCTTGTTCCTCGACCCAATTCTCGTTCTTTTCATTTTTCGTCCCTTAATTCTTCTTTCGATTAATTGGTTTCTAGCCTGCTGATTTTGGGGCTAATCATCACATTTTTTCACTGAAAATTTTCTTGTAAAGGAACAACTCCATTGATTATTTGACAGTGTTTTGAGTTTGATAATCATCTTCAATTGGAAAAAGGGTTGCAATTCTTTTGTGTTCTCTCAATGTGTTTATATTCATAGCAAGAAATTACTTAAGGCCATCTTGTACTAGTTTGAGACATTAATGAGATAGATTATTAACGAAAAACTGCACTATTTGAACACCACAATCCTTTAATGCAAATAGTTGGTATCGATTAATAGTTTATTTCTCTCTGATAAAAGATCAATGGTCAAACTTTTTTATTTGAATATACTCATAGATAATTTACATGGTTAAAGGTTATTGTTTTATGGTTTAGACAAAGGTTTTTCAATTCTGAACTCACGGTTGCTTTTATTGGCATTTTGAGAATTTTTGTTTGAATGATGAATAATTAATTTTGCATGGGGAATAAGCCAACAATAATAAAGTTTAGTCAAAACGCCTTTACATTTAGTTACCAAACAAAATAATTGCATAACAACCAACTTGATTTTTTTAATAAAATAAGAAAAATAAAAAAAATGAGAAAAACAAGAAACCCACAAAAAATGAGCTTAACATCACATCACTAATAGTGGGTTAATTCTATTTCTTCTTATGATTTTTGGCTAATTATCACAACATATAATTTTCTGTTGATTACTGAAAAAGCCTGATTGAGCTCAAATTAGTCTTAATAATAATTAAATTATTAGGTTAGTAATATGTTTATTAAAAAAAAAAAATGACTGAAAAATATTAACATATACACCCCTTAAACTCGAACCTCTCTCCCTTCAAATCAAACCACTCCAAATGTGTAAACTCAATTTTTTTTTTTTCTAAAATTTTTAATAGTCTTTATTTAATAAAATACACGTTTAAAATAATATGTTTCATTAAAAAATAATAACATATATTAGGGTACTATAAATGAGAAAAAAAAAATTTAAATTACATTTTTATAGATAGACGAACACTTTATTAGTTTACATTTTTTTTCAAGATGCATTTTCAAAATTTTTGTTAATTGATGAAAAATATCCATTTATAGATAAAATTTCCCTTTTAGTTTTATCCTATCTTGAAAGACCCGTTAAAATATAGTTATTGAAAGACCCATAAGGATTCATATTTTTCAAAGGAACCCCTAGACAAACCCCTAAAACCCTCTTCTCCCTGCCTCACTCCAAAACCCCTCCCAAAAATATGCAAACTCTCAACTGCCTGCATCACCATCTTCACCTTCCCTTCAATGTCCCTCCAAAACCTCTCAAATTCACCCTCATTTCATCCCTCTTCTCCTCCTCCTCTCTCAGAAAACCTCCAAAACCCACCAACTCTTTTCTCCACGATTACCTCGTTCAATCCTTCAACCTCCCCCCTCAAAAAGCCCTCTCCATCTCCTCCAAGTACTACTATATTAAAAGCCTCCAAAAACCCCTCTCCGTTCTCCAGTTCCTCCGCTCTCTCGGCCTCTCCGAACCCCACATCCTCTCCTGCGTCCGCGTGACTCCCAACATCCTCTTTTACGACGTGCCCAAGACGCTGAAGCCGAAAATCGAGTTCTTTCGGCAACTGGGTCTGGTGGATTCTCAACATCTGGGTAAGTTTCTTTCATCAAATTCCAAGCTTTTGACTGTTAGTTTAGAGAGAAAGTTGATTCCTTGCATTGAAATTCTCAAGAAAATCTTGGTTAATGATGGGAATAATGAAGATTTAATTAGGGTTTTGAGGAGGTGTAATTGGGTTGCTGCAATGGACCCCAGTTGGAGATTGTTGAATAATGTCTCATTCTTTGAGAATTGTGGCATTGTTGGTTCTCAATTGTCCATGTTGTTGAAGAGGCAACCTAGATTGTTTGCAATGCAAGAAACTAAGGTTAGAGGGCTTGTGAAAAAGGTTTTGGATATGGGGTTTTCAGTCGATTCTAGGATGTTGGTTCACGGGGTTCATACAATTAGTTGTATGGCTGAGGAGACTTTCGAGAGAAAGTTGAAGCATTTTAGGGGTTTTGGGTATTCAGATAGGGAATGTATGGAGATTTTTAGGAAGGCGCCAGCGTTGTTTAGGGGGTCTGAGGAGAAGTTGATGTTAAGACTTGAGTTCTTTTTGAATGAGGTTGGGTTTGAGAAGGAAGTGTTGGTTTGTCAACCAGCATGTTTGATGTATAGTATGGTGGATCGAGTTGTTCCCCGGCATAGAGTTCTACAAATTGTGAATTCGAAGAGGTTGGTGAAGAAGGACCCTAGTTTTCTCTCTGTGTTGAGATATTCTGAGCAGGAATTTGTGGAGAAATTTGTGGCGAGTTTTCCGGATAGCGCTGAGGAATTGCTTGTAGCTTACAAGGGTCATGTGTTGGATTCTTCTTCTTCAGCCTCATCTGAAGAAAAAGATAATTCAGAGCAAAAAGAGTCTTGATGCAAGTTTTTCAATTTCATTTTGTTTATGGGGGCCCTGGGGCCATTTTGAATTGATGTTGAAAATGAAGGTTGTTGAATTGACTTGTAGAAACACTTCTGAGCCTTGAATGAGAAGGATTCGGACATGGTTCAACATTAACCTAAATGATCCAGTTCTTACTTGAAAGAAAGAGACTGTCCAATGATGACATTCAACGTTATGGACTGAGTTGTTTATGGAGATTCGATCTTTATGCTGCAATATGAGTAAGCAGCTGAGGTTTTCAGAAAGTAGAACGGTGTCTTTTGGTGAGATAGATTGATGAAATGAGGGGTCTGAGAACTGAAACATATTGGATTGCTCTATAAAATTGGTCAAGTGTTCAAGATAGGGCAGCATATATGCAGAGAAGCCGAAATTCTATTCTATGCAATGCTTATAGGTTTCATTTTAGCTATGGTGCTCAGTTTTAGACGAGCTAAAGGCGCTATATTGAGATATTTTCATTTTCCATCCTTGATCATCCAACATTATATCATTCAGAGTATGTATTCCGATTGATTCATGAAGGAAGAGTTTTTGATACCAGATTTTGTTCGAATTGACGTTTTGGGTAAATTTTGGGATTTTGTTCGATTGATCAAAGGCCGGTATCCAAATATTTAAATATATAAATATATTATCGACGATTGGAATTATTTCTTGTTGACTCATCTATTTATGTGATATCGTATGAGTGTATATGTCTTAAGAGTTAGTATAAAGAAAAATTCTTAAACATGAATACTATCTAATCTCTATACTAATTTCTTATTAAAATTTTATCGTTTAGTATTCATCGATCATAGTAACAAAAGATTAACTGAGGCTAAAAATAAAAAAGCGATAGATTCTCCACATAATAATTAACAAGAAAAAGTATGAACAAAAAATAAATAAAAATTAAAAAATAAGGCCTCAATAAGAGAGATATAATAAGTAGGTATACCAGAAGTGAATATGAAGAAAAGAATTAGAAGCAGAGATAATTAGGCAATGATATAATATTTTCTGAAATCTTATAATATATATAGGTGAATCAACAATTCATATTATACTTGTGAATTAATAAAAATATAAATAATATTAACAAAAAAAAAAAAAAAATATATTTTTGAGGAGATAAATGTGACCAGAAAGAAAGCTTTAAAATGAAATAAATCAAATGAAAAGAGGAGATTAACACTTAAAATTATTGAATTATATTGAAACGATGGTTACATATTTAAATGACAATGGCAATTGTCAGAGTCTATGCAATGAGAAAAATCAACTTGGCCTAGATTGGATTTGCAAAGCTTACTGCATTCATCATCAGTGCAACCTGGCATAAAAAACATTCCCGCTTGAAATGATCCTGAAACTTTGCTTTTGTTCATACCTAAAGATGAAAACAGAAAAAAATGGCGATCAGAATACAAACTCATTCATATAAACTGATAGAATAATAATTCACTCCTCTATTAATATGAGTAAGTTTAAACAAAAATTCTCAAATGCCGACGCTTGTGTTTTCTTAAAATTTGAATTTTCAATATTAGCGTCTATAAATCTTATAAATAAAATTTTACAATCACCAATGTAAGATCTTGTTAACTGAAATTTCTGAAAATAAGACCTTATTAAGGGGTATAATTAGCTACCAGAAGTGAAGATGGAGAAAAGAAGTAGAAGTAGAGAGTAAAGAGAAGAATTTTTCATTTTTCTCTTTTGTGTTTGTTAAATGATAGTAGTTACACAAGTGAGTAATTTTATATTTTTTGAAATATTATATGTATATATAGGTGAATCAACCATACATTTGATACTATGAATTTGTTAAGAGATAAAGGACTCTTTTTTGTCATTAAATTTCGTAGAACTTGCATGCAATAGTTAACTCTCGCAAGTAGTTTAGATATTTTGCATTCTTGATGCTTCATAATTGGTTGAAATTTTGTTTTTTAATGTTTTTTTACGATGTTCGGAATTTGAACATACAACAGTTTAAATATAAAATAATTTCACTGTACAAATCTCATAAATTCAAGATAATTAAGTTCACAACAGAAAACTAACTTAAATTAAACAAATCAAAGCTGCGAAGTCTGCTGAAATAAAAAAGAACGTGGAACTGGAAAAAAGCTATCACCAGTTATTCATGAACAAGAAAATGAGAAGATTAGCATTATTTAATAGGGTCACAATTTAACTAAACAACTAACAAGCTCCTAAATTCAAGCACAATATCTCACCAAAAACTCAATCAAATGGTAACTTGCCAAAAAAAAAAAAAAATGTTTCAACTTCCGAGGGTAATAACCTTGATGGTGAAACAATATTACCGTCGAGCCCTTACACATAAACATTAAAGCTTTTCGAGTCAAATGGTTACAACAGAGTATGAGAGCTTTTGGTTCTTATCTATTCATTATATCATAGTTTTATATGCGGAAAGAAAGATGGGAGATAAATAATCTCTACATTTCTCAAAATTGTTTGAGTTACATATGAACCATAAGGACTATCCATCAGATTGAAATCCAAAAAATGGGAATTTGATTGCCATCTGAATGGTCAAATCTAACATATACATGCTAAAACAATAAAGAATTTTCCTATTCATGTTGTGAAATCTCCTCAAATTGCGGTAAGTATGCTTTTTCCTTTAATTGAAAAGTTAAACAGTCCAACAGTGCATAGATTACTATGCCTTCAGGATGATCTCTATCTTCAACTGTAAACGTACAAGTCTTACCATTGACGTGAACTTGACTTTGTCCTGGAAACTTGTTCACGTTGTTGCATTTCATCATCGATCTTATTTTTGCAACTCCATCCCACCTTCCCCAGAAAGCATATATATTAGCCATCTCCACATATGGTGCTGCCACATGGGGCACTAATTCAAATAGACGATGAGCCACATACTCGCCTATCTCTATGTTATGGTGAATCTTGCAAGCACTGAGCAATGCCCCCCATATGCCAGCGTCGGGTTTGATGGGCATGCTTTGAACAAAATCCAATGCTTTCTTTAGCTTTCCTCTACGCCCAAGAATGTCGGCCATACAAGAATAATGGTCTAATCCGGGATTGATGTTATATACCTCGGTCATCATATTGAAACACTCCCATCCTTTCTCAAGGAAACCTGCGTGAGCACAAGCTCGAAGAACCGCAAGAAATGTTACGTGGTTTGGCCACAAACCCAATTCCACCATCTGGTGGAAAAGGTCCAAAGCTTCTGAGAACTCTCCATTCAAGGCACAACCTGCAATCATAGCTGTCCATGAGACAACAGTTCTCTCAGGCATGGCAAGGAAGAGCTCTCGAGCATCAGGAATGCTTCCACATTTTGCATACATATCTATCAATGCATTGCAGACCATTACATTATCTCTTAACCCTTTAGAACTGGCATAATTGTCAATCCATTTTCCAAGCTCAAGTGTACCGCCTTGGCCACAACCTGAAACCAATGACAGCACAGTGACCAAATCAGGTTTTTCACCAGCTGCTTCCATAGCAAAAAACAATTCCAATGCCACATCCATGTCCCTTTTCTTGACATATCCGCTAATCATAGCGGTCCAAGAAACACAGTTTCTGTATAGCATACCATCAAATAAAAATCTTGCAGAATAAATATCTCCACACTTGGAATACAATGAAATTAGTGTATTAATCACAAATATATCTACGTCAAAGCCCATTTGAATTCCATGAGAATGAATCAACCTACCATGTAACAGTGCCTCTAGCTGCGCACATGCTGAAAGTAGGCTAACAATGGTACTAACATCAGGCCTAAATCCATCTAGCATCATCCACTTGTAGAACCTAACTGCATCAAAAACCTTACCATTGTTTGCATATCCTGCAATCATAGAATTCCACGAAACCACAGTTTGTAAACCCTGCTCAATCCCATAAAACACCAACTCCGCAAAGTTCAAGTCACTGCATTTGGCATAAGCAGAAATCCATGTAGTAGCAACTTCAATATCAGCATCCATCCCCATCTGAATACCAATAGAATGAACAGCCTTCAACAGGTTCAAATTCTTCGCCTCCAAAACCGACTGCGTCAACCCCATAGCCGTGACCGCATCACCCTTAATCCCTGCAAATCTCATCTCATAAAAAATTCTCAACACTTCATTAACAAAACCTTTTTGAGCAAACCCCACAAGCATCGCATTCCACGACGCAACATCTCTCTCTGTCATTTCATCAAACAAACTACACGCGTAATCCAATTGATCACATTTTACATACATATCGACCATTGTGGTTTGCACATAGATATGAGACCCAAAAGGGGATTTTACGGTGTGGGTATGGATCATTTGTGAGTATTTAAGATTGGAAAGCTGGGCACACGCTTTGGCTATAAAGATGAAGATGAAGTTGTTTGGAACAATGTCGTTTTGTTTCATTTGGCGAAAGAGAAGAAGGGCTTGGTTGGGATTGTGTTTGCTCACAGCTTCCCTTATTTGAAAGTTCCATTGATTAGAGGGTGAAAATTTTGAAAATCGGTTGAGACGTAGAGGAAGAGAAGATGTGACCATTTCTCACTGTTTTGGAGGGAAATTTAAATGACAGTTAAACTTAATTGGTAAATTTTATGGACCGGGTTGAGCTATTTGAGAGAAAAATTAAGGCTTAAGCAACTAAAAATCTAAAACCTCTCGACAATTTTTACAATATTAGATAGTTTTGATACATTCAATAATTTAATTCTCAAAATATGTTGAATACTGTGATAAAAGAAAATAGAGTAAAAGAGGTGTGCTAGCGTTAATCGACAATTGTATACCACGGTATTAATTTGTGATTGGGATAAATATTGACTCACAAGTTACAAGTCACAATCTAGTTTTATAAATTTTTTTTCACAATCTCGACGTATAGCTTACTATTGGTCCGCTCGTGATTGGACAGACAAGACCTATAATGAGTAAACATGACTTATTTACGAGTTGATCAATTGTGAACTACAATTAATGGTGTGAAAAACTGGTTAACCGAATCAGTTGGAGGTTTTTTTAACCGAACCGATTTTTTGGTTCAAGCAGCATTCCAAAACTGAAACCAAGCCGGAATACTGCTTAATCCGATTTCTAACCGAACTGATAATTCGGTTCAGTTACATGTGCAAAAGCAGGAGAATACATTCCACCCCAACTTCAAACCCACTTAGTAATCACCAAAATCAAACAATCCACACAAAACCAACATCAAATCTCAACTTCTCCACCTACTTCCACACACTTACACATCAACTACTCATAAACATAACCACACACACAAATAAACAAACAAATAACAAATGTCCATCCTGAGTAGAGCAGATCTGCAAATCAAAAGTTTTGATGCAAAACCCACGAGGCGTTTCAAGTGCTTCAAAACCGACGCGCCACATAGCCAAGTGATGGATTGACTCCGATTTTTTTTTTTTTGTGTGTGTGTGTGTGTGTGTGTGTGATGAGAATAAAGAGAGAGGGAAGAAAGAAGAGAAGGAAAGAGAGAGGGAACAAATAGAAGAAAATAGAGAATGTGAATATGAGAAAGGTGAAAGAAAGAGCGCCGCTGCCCGTCGGGTCTGGCAACTTCTCTCTTTTTCTAAAGCAAAGAAACGAAGGGAAGAGGAGCGAGAAAAGTTGCGGTTAGGGATTAAAATCATGGTTATCGAATAGGATATCATATCGTTTATTAAAAACTTACTGCATGTTTGGCTTACTATTTTTATCCCTATTCTGGATCCTATTCTCCAAATAATGTTTAACATATTATTCTAGAAATATTATCCTATTTTTTTAATTATATTTAAATCCTATAAGATTATTAATTTCACTAAATACCCCCTAAAAAAAAATTTAAAAATTAACAAAAACACCCCCATCAACCCAACTTGTCAGATTCCAGCAACCACCGTCAGTGATAGCCGGAATCTGTACAACGACCTAACTTCCGACCAGAAATGGCCGGAAGTTCACCGCTGTGGCCTTTTCCGGCCAGATCTGACCGTCAGCGACGGCCAAAGAAATGACCGTTGTTAACGTCAACGACGGCCACATCTTTGGCCGTCGCTGACGACCAAAGATGGCCCTCGTTTGGCCTTTTCCGGCCGTCGACGGCCATAACAGACCGTAGATCTGGCCTTTTCCGGCCATATCCACCATGGATCTGGCCAGAAAAGGCCATAACGACCTGTTATGGCATAGATCCGACCGCTCTGTGCCGTAACGAAATTTTCCGGCCAGATTCCGGCGGTGGTGGCCGGAATCTGACACTGCAGGTGGTGGGGGTGTTTTGGTCATTTTATATGTTAGGGTCTTTAGTTAAATTAGTAAATCTAAGGGCTTTTTCATAAATTTTTAAAATTTACCTCGTAATACTCCCCTATCCAATAACTCAATACTATCCCTAAAATCCTATCCAAAATACTAAACCAAACGCACCCTTAATTTTTTGAATCGTGTATTATATACTGTATCGTATCGTATCGTATCGTAAGATAATTAAAGAATTTTGTGGTATCATTGACTTTAAATTAAAAAATTAATAAAATTATAAATTTTTTCTAAAAATTAGTATAATATCTAAGATTAATTAAAGAATTTTGTGGTATCATTGACTTTAAATTATGGTATTACATAATCAAAATTAATAATAAAATTAAGAATCTATATTATTTTTTCTCAATTATTCATATCACTTTCAAGATCAATGTCAATATTTATATCCCTACTTATATTATTATTATCATGCAAAATAAGCAACACATATTTCTTTTCACTTTTTCCATGCAAAATAGGTAAATTTGGACAAGTTTTAATGAATCGGGTTGGGTGACCCAAAATTCTTTTTGGGCCTTTAGCCCAAATTAATAAAGTCGTGTGAATTTATATCGATATTTTTAAGGATACGAACGGATACGTATTGTATCGTAGGATACATATCAACGTATCGAAATGTTTAGAATATACTCTCTGATACGTATCGTTGGCGACCTGTATCGAATCGTATCTTATGATACGTAAGGATACTAACAACCATGATTAAAATTAGATTTAGATTTAGGATTTTTTATTTAAAACAAAAACCGGTTTCGGTTAACCGATTATTTAAAATGGTTGAACCGATAACCGAACTAAAAAATCGGTTCAACCATTTTTTTCAAATTGAAACCGAATCAGTTACTTTGAAAAACCGGTTTTTTGAATCGGTTTTAGTTCGATTTTTTGGATCGGTTCGATTTTTATTTGCAGTCCCAGTTATAACGTTGGATTTGTGAGATTGAATTGTAAGTATAACATTAACCTTTGTGATTGGTGTCATGAGATTGTGTAACGGTTGTTCTCACGCTACAGTTGCTAGCGTAATTCATAAGTAGTATGCAACATATGGAATCGTTATCAAATTTGTCGAGTGCCCAAGTTCAGAACTAAGTTTAGGCCCACGGTGCTCATGGCCACTTCGACCCTATTTTTTTTTTTTTTTAATTTATATAAACAATTATCGTGTTAGTCCTTACAAATTCAGTTTTGAATTTAACACTTTGACTCTCGTAAATGAAACTTCTAAATTTCTCTATTCTCTCATTCGTTGAACATTACATTCCAACCTTTGAATAAATTTCCTAGCTTCGCCCTTATGATAGCCTTTAATCAAAATGATGCTACGGAATAGTGTTTTAGGCCAATTTCTAATTTTTTTTTTTTTTAATTATCAAGTCACAAAGGTAATGACACAAATAGATATCATATGCATAACGTTATCCGATTAATAACATTTTGAATTTGAACCTATTGCATCATCTTCAAAGTCAAACAAATGAACTAAAAAGGAAAAAGAAAAGGCAAAATAAGGCAAGAGAATAAATAATTTTTTTAAAAAGCATTGACATTCCAAATTCTAATGCTATATGGGAGAAACTATATATGATAAAATATTTTGAAAATATATAGTAAAATATTGCAATTGTAGTGATAAAATAATAAAATATAGCAAGTAAATTTAATTTGAAATAATCATATATAAAAAGAAATCGTGGAGAAAATATAATAAAGTTCTATTTAATTATAGATTCTATCATAATTTTTATTATCTATCAACATTTTCATATATGTAAATAAATCTTCTAATTTAAGTCTAAGAGTGTAACCTACCAATAATTATTTAATTATAGATTTTCAAAATAAGATTAATACCTATATATATAATCAAGATTACAAAGGGAATTTTCTCATACAAAAGAGTCATTAAACAATAGAGAAAAAAAAAAAAAATGAAAACTTTCTCTCTTCTTTCATTGCTTTTAGTTCTCTTTCTTTGCACTTCTGGTAATTGGTTTGACATGAAACATTATACTTGAAACAGTTTATCGATACTGTAACAAAACCCTATTTTTGATTGATATTCTCTTATCTTTATTGCATCGAAATATTTGTTTATGCATTTGTTTTTTTTTTTTTTGCTTAATTCTCATTGATTTTATTCTTTTTTTTTTTTTTTTGGGGAATTTTTGATAATTAGGAAGCATGAAAGTTGAGGCTCAAGAAGAGGTGTGTTATGCGACATACCACTTGCCAAAATGTAAATTTCAGCGAGGTAAATGCATGTCGTTATGCAAAATTTACGATCGAGGAGACAGTATCCGTTGTAGTGACCCAGTGACTTGCTGTTGCCTATAAAGGTATTATGATTATTCAGTTAATCTCTTGTGTGATCGTCCTAATTTTTTTTTTATAATTCAGACTTCAAATCTTGCTTCTTGCCAGCAACAATTCAGATTTGGATTTTAGGTCTACACCTAAGAAGTTTTGTTTATTAGTTAATATAAAAAAAAAATATATTGAAAAAATACTAAATTCTATAAATATTAAGATTTTGTATCTCAATTTTTTGAAATTGTTTTCAGATCACAAGCCAAATAATCGATACTATAAATTTGTTTTCAAACCTTTAGTAGTTTTTTTTTTTTAATTGGAAAAAGAAGAAACAGAATTTTATCTTAATTCTAATCTGATATTGATTTTCATTTTCAGGGTAAGAGGGAGGCACCATGCTTAGCAAATAACTTGTGGCACAATATCTACTGGGGAATATTGTAGAGACTTTGAAATTTCTTGTTACCATTATGTGCCTTAAAATAAATTGTAATGAAGCATATTGTCTTTGAAATAAATTTTTAATAAAACAAGTAACATGTTATTATTATTCTCGTGCGGCTATAATTCATCATGAAAATGAACATATGCCCTGTGTTGCTTGATACTAAAATTAAATAAAAGGTGAAATGAACTAGGCGAAAGATAAATTGAAAATTCTTAGGTGCAGTCCTCTTTTTTTAACAAAAAAAGATTTCCACGTTATAATAATTAAAAGTTTATCCTTCTCAATATCTTTTGAAAGTGGAAAATAATGGTTTTTGGCTACGTAGGAGTACTCCATACCTTATGGCAGCACTGCACACTCGTCTAATAAATCGTTCGGCCAGCCTCCTATGAGTTCTTGATCCTCTATAGTCTATGCAATCTGAGAGGACAAGACGACCTTGTAACTTTAATGTTATCAAATTTTATCATTTGGATGACAATTTTTGCTGTTTTTGTTAAATGGACTCCCAAAGTTTGAAAACTATATTAAGGTTTTCAAATAATAATATGTATATAATAAAAAAAGTTCGAAATGCCAAAGGTTATTGATTCATAACAAAGAAGATGAACTCTTTTTTATTATATTAAAATTTTGGTCGTATTTTCAACAGTTGAGTGGCTTCTCTGCAAAACATTTTTGATATTTTTTTTTTTTTTTTAATTTTTAGGTGTATTTTTGTCTTTAAATTTAAAAGAAGACTAGAATGGTCTGATCAAGAGG